GTCCACTAAACCTAAACTTGACAAAACATTCCTGTCTGTTTAAATAGATAAAATTGGTTAGAGCTACATGTAGGTTTTTGTTTGAGAAATAAATCTAAAAAAGATCTTTTTGTTGTTTACAATACATTTATATTGCAATCTTACTGTATTTCATCTTGGAGCAAAGTCAGTGGACCCCTCAAAATTTTGTGGTGGACCCCTTTATAGATCCTGCGTCCAATGGACCCCTAAAATAAAAAGGGTTGGTAAATCCCTGGATTAGGATTTAACCTTTGTATTAAAGTGGTTACACTCAGTAAGCTTGCATTTCAATTTACAATAAAGTTAGGTGAAGTGACACTTTGTAATGATTACAGGTATGGGCGACAAGGTTGAGTGTCTGCCTTGTAATTGAGAGGGCCATGGTTTAAAACCCTATTGGTGCCTGTGGATTTTTGAGATTTAAAATATTCCTTTGGATACCACATTGGTTATGTAATAACTTTTACCAGAAGGTAACATATAGGGATCTGTTCTCCTGTCTGTCTGTCTGTTTGTCACAGAACTTGTCCGTACTGCTTTGCAGAAATTACTGGTGCAATTTCATCCAAACTTTACAGGAATGATCAGTATCAGGTCTACTTATGCATATCATAAGCATTTACTGGTACAATCATTTTTGTCAGAGTTATGGCCCTTCAATGATTTTATTTTACTACTTTTTTACCACAAAATCAATTTTATTGAAACTTTACATATTGACCGATAGCTAAAGTCCTTGTTTCACAGGTTTGCTGCTTCAATGATTTTTGGCTGAGTTATGGACCTTGAATAAGGTGTTTTGGCCTTTTAATGATTTTTGTGTTGCCAGGTGCACCGAAACTTGTCTGAACTACTCTACATGAAATACTGGTGCAATTTCATTCAAACTTTACAAGATGATCAGTACCAAGTCTAGTTGTGCATATCTCAGGCATTTTTAGCTCGACTATTCGATAAGAATGAGTAGAGCTATTGCAGTCACCCGAGCGTCGGCGTAACCACTTCTGTTAAAGTTTTTGTAATAGTTCAAATATTTTCAAAGTCCATTGACATATGGCTTTGAAACTATGCACACTTGTTCACCATCATGACCCCAACCTGTAGACAGGAAGAGGTTACTCTATCAAGCATTTTGACAGAATTATGCCCCTTTTTGGACTTAGAATTTACGTTAAAGTTTTTGTAATAGTTCAAATATTTTCAAAGTCCATAGACATATGGCTTTGAATCTTTGCACACTTGTTCACCATCATGACCCCAACCTGTAGACAGGAGGAGGTAACTCTATCAAGCATTTTGACAGAATTATGCCCCTTTTTAGCTCGACTATTCGATAAGAATAAATAGAGCTATTGCAGTCACCCGAGCGTCGGCGTTGGCGTCGGCGTAACCACTTCTGTTAAAGTTTTTGTAATAGTTCAAATATTTTCAAAGTCCATAGACATATGGCTTTGAAACTTTGCACACTTGTTCACCATCATGACCCCAACCTGGAAACAGGAGGAGGTAACTCTATCAAGCATTTTGACAGAATTATGTCCCTTTTTCGACTTAGAATTTACGTTAAAGTTTTTGTAATAGTTCAAATATTTTCAAAGTCCATAGACATATGGCTTTGAAACTTTGCACACTTGTTCACCATCATGACCCCAACCTGTAAACAGGAGGAGATAACTCTATCAAGCATTTTGACAGAATTATGCCCCTTTTTAGCTCGACTATTCGATAAGAATAAATAGAGCTATTGCAGTCACCCGAGCGTCGGCGTTGGCGTCGGCGTAACCACTTCTGTTAAAGTTTTTGTAATAGTTCAAATATTTTCAAAGTCCATAGACATATGGCTTTGAAACTTTGCACACTTGTTCACCATCATGACCCCAACCTGGAAACAGGAGGAGGTAACTCTATCAAGCATTTTGACAGAATTATGCCCCTTTTTCGACTTAGAATTTACGTTAAAGTTTTTGTAATAGTTCAAATATTTTCAAAGTCCATAGACATATGGCTTTGAAACTTTGCACACTTGTTCACCATCATGACCCCAACCTGTAAACAGGAGGAGATAACTCTATCAAGCATTTTGACAGAATTATGCCCCTTTTTAGACTTAGAATTTACGTTAAAGTTTTTGTAATAGTTCAAATATTTTCAGTGTCCATTGACATATGGCTTTGAAACTTTGCACACTTGTTCACCATCATGACCCCAACCTGTAAACAGGAGGAGGTAACTCTATCAAGTATTTTTTTTACTATCAAGCACTAAGAATAGTCGAGCTTTGCTGTCCTACCGACAGCTCTTGTTCGACTTAGAATTTACGTTAAAGTTTTTGTAATAGTTCAAATATTTTCAAAGTCCATTGACATATGGCTTTGAAACTTTACACACTTGTTCACCATCATGACCCCAACCTGTAAACAGGAGGAGGTAACTGTATCAAGCATTTTTTTTCTATCAAGCACTAAGAATAGTCGAGCGTTGCTGTCCTACTGACAGCTCTTGTTCTAGGACTTGGAGTTATGGCCATTTAATGATTTTCAATTTTTGAAAGTTTTGTCTGGACTTCTTCTTTAATATAAATGCAATTTAAATGAAACTTAGGAGGCCTCAACTTCTTGAGCATGCTTAATGTGGTTTTCTGTTGAATGATTTTTGGCTTTGTTATGGCCCTAAAATTAAAAACATGTTTTGGCATGTTTATAGAGGATATTGAATGAGTGTAGTTCAATACTAAATTTATTGAATGAGTTGGATAAAATCATATTATGCGAGCCTCTGGCGAGCATAATATTGTTTTATTCAACGAGTTCAATAAATTAAGTATTAAATCTGCATGAATAAAATATTCTTTTTATCACAAATATAAAATAAGAACAGTCAACTGTTAAAATGAGTATTTTTTCAATGACGCGCCTATAGTGTAACGCTAACATTAGCGCGCTTTAACGCTATGTTTCTATATAGCGCAAATGACATCACGTCAAAGTGTTATTACACTAGTGAAATATCATTTTTATTAAATGGCTTTATTACACTCCTGCGCCGCGGTTTATGTGATAAAAGAATTTTTGTGTCTCCTGCTATGCTGTAACTATAAAATGCAATTGGCAATCATCAGGTGACACATGTGATTATTAACTGCTCTTTTGATGTGGGTTTTTTCAAGAAAAATAAGTCAAAGCAAAACTTTTTTCTACTTTTACTACAAGGGTTAAAAAAAATGTTACAGAATATTGTTTTACCTTGTTTCAGAGATTTCATTCAAAATGGTGACACTGTACAGTAATAATCTATAGCTGGTAAACCAAATCCTGTGCCCTCGACTTTCCCAGTTTCTACACTGGTTATTAGAGCTGTCATTGATTCAGTGCAAAGCATATCAACGATATATCGATATCAAGTAACTAAAATCAACGATACACCGATATATCAATAATATCCTATACTCACTTGTCTGTCATTCACTTTCATACCTGTTTCAATGATTTCAGTCAAAAACAAGTTCTGTACAGTGTCTTGTCCACTGCATGATTTTTTCCAGACAATATTTTTTATCACCATAGCTATGAAAAAAAAATATCAACGATACATCGATATTGTCGATATCGATGACAGCTATACTGGTTATAGAGTTTTGTAAGCGAACAGCATGGATCCTGATCAGACTGAACGGATGCGCAGGCTGGTCTGGATCCATGCTGGTCGCAAACCCATTATGTTGGTTTTGTCATGACACGGCTCAAATATTGAACTGTGGTATAATAAAACATGTTTATAAATCTTTTGAAATAATTTTTAAGGGCAGATAATTATGTCTATGGTTGAAATGTCTTTAGTAATTTGGGGCCAAAATATCCTGATGCTAAAATAAATAGAAATTGACAATTGCCACCCATTCCAATGATCCCATTACCTTTTACAGTGTTCTTATATGAAATTTTTAAATGATATGAGCACTGGTTAACCAAAAATGCTTTCTCTAATTTGTTACTCTTTCTAAGATTTCTTCAAGAATGGGCTGTTAGATATTTTAGCATTTTAGAATGAGAGTTTAGAGTTAGAATGAAGATTAGGGGACAAATATATATCTTGGGCAGGAAGAAAATCAACCCAGTATCATTGAATGATAAATCAAAGCACTGAAGGCGCTGAATTTGTTTGGGTCTCAGAATGTCAGAAAGGTGAAGGTTGTGAGATTATAAACCAATTTGTATAGTGCCACCAATGCTTTCCAGTGTTTTAACTGTAGTAAAATGGCTATAAGACTAATCGCAACACTGATAGTCAATTCAATGTTTATTTGACTTGAAAATTTAATAAAAAGAGTTGCCTCAACTGGGATTTGAACTCCAGACCTCGATTCTTAAGTGAGCGTGCAAACCACTCGGCCATGGTGAAGTTATATGTTAACCGCTTGAAGAAAATCATTTTATTCTAAATAAGAGTTTGTAACTCTTATTATTTCGACGCTAAACCTGTTGTTTAAAACAGATGTAAATAATCATGGAGCTTACTGTAAGCATGTATATCTATAAAGAATGAAACAATATTAGAACTCTTCGACCATTCGGGAACTACTTTGCTTGAAAATTAATGCGCCTCTCATTTGACAATCTTTACGCATTGACCTCCCCTGAATTTTCCGGCGTTATTGTACATATAAAGGGAAGTAACCGCTTAAAAAAAAGTGGACTACTTTAGGCATTTGCAATTAACAGCATTAGACTCTGAAATTTCGCTACCATTATTTGTTTGGTTTGACGACCCAAACAAATAAAAAGCAAATGCAACAACAAATCACTCCTTTGACCTTTTCATTTTGTTATACAGATTACATTTATAGGTTAAAGCATACTTAGTATAGAAGGAAAATTAAATCTATTAGTAAGTTGGTAATTTTGAATAATTTGCGTAGCTTATATAGTGAATGTATGCTATTTTATCATTGTATAGCTTATCATATAGTACCCTACTTTATCATAGTTTTATAGTATGCTTTTTATTTGTAGACTGGGACATGACAAGCACAAGCATTTTAAAATGCTTTCCTCCAGCACCTGGAAAGGGGCAGATAACTGTGTTTGAACAGATAGGGGAATTAAGTTCTGTACCACAAGATCAGGCAAAATTAAAGGTTAGATAAACACATCTTTACATATATGCAAAAATACAAATATAGATATATTATATTTTAGATTGAATCTTTGATTCTAAAATATGTGCAAAACTTTCTTGAATAATTTAAAACTTTTTTTGTATATAATATAAAGGTGACTTAAATGTTGATATTATACATGTATTTCTTGAACTTGAAAATAATAATTTTACTTTATCCTTAAAATCTTTGTAGTTTCTTTTACATAATTAAGTAGGCTTCTTGAGAGTTGTTGCCTTTTACAGATGAGCATTAAAACCTCATGTCTAGCTCTTGTTGACATTTTGTTCTTTGTTGGTCATCTTGTAATTAATGGTAAACTACATGTTATGCTACTATTTTCTATGATAAAAAAGTGAAAATCTTGGGCAAAAATGTCAGAGACAGCAATCAAGAAATTATTGGATAATGTATGCCAATTTATGATTTTTTAAAGTGAATTTTGGAAAAGAGCAATTTATACCTAATCTAATGCTATGAATATATTATTATATCCTAGGAGTTTTTGTATCATCTTGGGAAATAAGGTACCTTTGCTAAAGTAGGGTAAAAATACCCTTTGCATATACATGTAATAAAAGCGATATTTGATTGTGCTTAATACCAGTCAGTTAAGAAGAATGTATAGTACAATGTTTTTAATGGATCTACCATTATTCAAATGGTATATATCATTGATATATTTTGCAGACTGTACCTTCTATCTTAAATAGGTAGCATTGATTTGTTACAACATCACCAAGTTGTTTCTTGCATGTAGTTTCAGGGGTATCCTGACGTAGCCATTAACAAAGACAATACTCGCAGCCTAACACAGCGTGAGAACGCAAAATCAGCATTCTTACCCCATGATGAGACAGTGTCTAAAAGAGTATACCATGCCTGGCAGGATATGGGGGTATCTGGGGCACTGGAGGAAATCGTGAATGATGCAGAGCAAGGTAAGATGTCATCTTTAAATAAACATGTTTTTATAATTATATGCAAAAGAAAAGCATCATCCTGGGCACCTAGTCATTCACATGTTCGTCTGTTGGCAATTTTGTGCCTGATCTGTATCTTTTGAACCAATGGAAGAAAATTGAAACTACCTGACAGAAATTTTAACCATAATTAGATGGTGTTCAGAGTTCAGATTTGATGTTCCTCAGGTCAAAGTCACACAGCTAGTCAGATATTATAGGTATGAATTTTAAAATTCAGATAGGCCAGTATTCAGACATGTTAAAGGGTATAAATCTATATCTTATGACATATTTTTGTAACATATCTACCATGTTTATTTCATAAAAGCATTTTGGAAGTATTCTTTTTTAAAATTGAAACAATAATTTTTGCAGCAGATATATAGCTTTATACACTTTAAATACACTTTAACAATGGCAGAAAATGCCTGGTTTTTTACCTGAAATGTATATATGATGTATATTTATTTTTTTAAATGATAATGAATTGACTTGATTGGCAAATCACCTACATTGTATTTTTATACCATGCAAAATATCTGTGTACTTATATTTTTTGTGCATTATTGTATATTCTACTTTTACCACTAAATTTGATACAATTCTAACAGTTTACAAAATGTCCCTTCATGTATTCAGGGAAACAAACATTATTTGATGAGAAATCCATTAATTTCTTATCATACAATGTACATCATTGATCTAATTAAACTCGTATCAAATTTCTGTTGTACATTTATGTAAAAAAAAGCACACTGTTGATTAAAAGAAAGTGTTATTTCCTAGATTGCTGATTTTGAATTCTCAAATTCATGCTATGAGTTACATTGGTAAATTATTGGAAAAATTATATCCTATGTCAAGTTTTTTTAAACCTCTTTAGTTTTCAAAATTGTTCTTAGATCTAGTAAATGTACTATCTATACATGTACCAAACAGATGGCTGTTTGAAGTTACTTAAGTATGACAGTCTTAGAGTTTGTTGTTATGATTGATTATTAACTTAAATTTTCAGTTCCAAATTGGATTTCTGCGATTGCCCAAAAATTGCTTGTTCTGTCACGCTGGACCGGTTCCCTACATGGGTCATTTTTCCCACATTTAGCTGTAAGTTCATTTCTTAATCATTTGCATTGGAATCACAACAGTTCATTTGTGCTCATTAGTCCCAGAATCAGTAGTAATTGTAGCTTTTGCAGAATTGTCCTGGTGAATATTTTTGCTAAACATTGATTAATAATCATGCTTTACTATTTTCAAATTACTTTTATCTGATGGCTTAAAAGTGTTATGGAGAGAGAATTGCAGTAAATGCAAATCTTTTTTTCACTATATCTGGCTTGGTCATTAAATTTCTGAATATCATGAAAGAAATTTGTAAAACGTTTTAACAGTGTAGTTGCATCAGCATGCAAGTTTTACAATCTGACCATTCCTATATCATTCTATGTAGGATTTTTGGATCCATGACAATTGGTCAAATAGAAATTATGTCTTATTAGCAATTTAGTTGAATCTAGTTTACAAATGTCAAATTATTTTCCAAAGTCTGTTTGTCAAAAAGTGATGAAAGCTTCACATAATTTTAATTGATCTTTGATTTATATGGTAACATCCATAAAAATACAATGTAGCTATTTCTATACTTACTTTATTTTGGCCAGTGTTTGAACAGTATTTACTCAAAGCACAGACTATTTTAGAACATTGTTCATCAACACATGAGTATAGATTAACACAGGGGCGTCTGTGGGCGAGTGGTTAAGGTCGTTGACTACAAACCACTTGCCTCACTGCTGTGGGTTCGAATCCCGACAGGGACTTTGGATTCTTTCATGTGAGGAAGCTATCCAGCTAGCTTACTGAACGTTGGTGGTTCTACTCAGGTGCCCGTTCGTGCCTGAAAAAATGCACGAAGGGGCACCTGAGGTCTTCCTCCACCAGTAAAGCTGGAACGTTGCCAAATGACCTATACTGTGTCCGTGTGATGTAAAACCCAAGTAAAAAAAAATAAATAAAAAAATAGATTAACACACTGTTCCGTTATAAATACTCAGTCGCTGATTGTTTTTGATGAATTGTCACATCTGAATACACATGTTCTTATCATGAAGACAAAATAACATATTCAAAGAACAGGAGCATTGTTTATAAAAAGATACCAATAATGTTGATTACATTAGTACTTTATCAGACTGTCATTTTCTCATATTTGCAGTTATCAAATGAAGACATAGTTTCAAGGTTTTCAAGCGTAGTTCATTGGTAAGAAATGTTTTATCTTACCTAAATTTTGTAATAGTATGGCTTCACTTAATCAACTAGCTTAGGAAAACTCATTTAAATCTTCTTGTCTGAAACTAAATATCTTAAATCTTGTACCATTGCCTTGTAGACATCTATAAATGTTAATTTATTGGAGTCGCTTATTTTACAAAGATATTAAAGAGAATCACATGCATATATCTTCTTGTGTAAAACTGTAAGTGATTTCAGGCTAGCAATTAATGACCAACATAACCTACTAATTTATAGTTTTAAATGTGAGTGTAATAGTTAAATAGTTGCATACAGTCTCATACTTCCTAAACAGTGAAACTAGAAACACTGATATAATGCTGTTATGTACTACAGGATAGATTAAATCCTAGATTAGGGAGCATCCATGGCCTGAATGGTTAAGGTCCTTGACTTAAACCACTCGCCCCTACCACTGTTGGTTCCATTCCAAAGGGTCTTTGGATTCTTTTATGTGAGGAAGCTATCCAGTTAGGTTACTGAATGTCAGTGGTTCTACTTAGATGCCTGTCCGTAGTCGTCCTCCACTCTTAAAGCTGAAAAGTTGCAATTTGACCTATACTGTGTTGATGTGACATTAATCCTAACAAAAAAACAAAAAAAACAACAACTAAATCATCATCAAAATTTGTATGCATTTTAGATTTTCGTTTGAAAAAAGTTGACTGTATTTAAAATGCTGATATATATTCTTGATTTCAGGACTGTTAGCCCAATCAAAGCATTTGCATGGCATCCACACACACTGAAATTCTCTTACACCTTAAAAGATGATACTGTGAGAGTACATGCAAACTTTACAGAGCTGGCTTCCAGTCTGAAACACACAGAGCTGGTTCCCATATTGGAACATAAACTACAGAAGAATGTTTCTTGTTTGGCTTGGCAGTAAGTTGTTATATTTAGATATTTGGTGAAATAATTGATGATTGTCATTTGTTGTTTGTATGACAATGTTGTAAAATTAACTTTTTGTTAGAACTGATCATTGATGATAGTAGCAACTGTAGTATCAAATATTAACAGTTAAGGATTGTGATCTTATTCATTATTTCCTAAGGCTATTAAATATTTTTATAAAATTAATCAACAGTAAAATTATATTGTTTCAATAATCTCATGGTCAATTCTCCCTAGAAATGTCACAGTTATTTGATTTTAACACACATGAATATTGCAGGTAAACAGTATAAAATGTTCCGTAACAAAATATTATGCTGCTATTTTAAGTAGGATTTTATCCATTTTAAGCAATGATTTTGTTTTGTACATACACCATTCTTTATTAAGGTAATTAACTGCCATATTTTTTTCATATAAGCATTTTGGAAGTATTCTTTTTAAAAAGTTAAAAAATAATTTTTTAGCAGAGAAATAGCTTTATACACTTTAAAAAAAACAATTTCTTAATTGCTGAAACTGTTAAAAGTCCCAATTTAATCTTGAAATTTCCCCTTTAGCAACAGACCAGCCTTTTTGACCACCTTTTATCTCTTTTTATGCCACCACATCGGTGGCATATTGCGATTCACCTGTGTGTATGCCACCGCATCAGTGGCAGATAGCAATTCACCTGTGTGTATGTATGTGTGTGTGTTTGTGTGTGTGTTATATAGATTATATAGTGAACTTAAAAAATCTTCTTGTAAAAAACCACTAGTCCAATTTCAACCAAACTTGGCAGGATTGTTCCTTGGGTGAACGGTTTCCAAAGTTGTTCAAAGAATTTCATTCCATGCAGAAATCTGGTTGCCATGGCAACCAAAAGGAATTATAAGAATAAATTTAAAAAATCTTCTTGTAAAGACACAAAAGGTCTAGAGCTTAGATATTTTGCATAAGGCATTGTCTGGTAGACCTCTAACAAGATTGTTAAAATTATAGCCCTGGGGTCAAAATTGCCCCCGCCCTGGGGGTCATTGATTTCAATATATACATATAGTAAAAAATAAAAAAAATCTTATTATCTGAATGTACAAGGCTTTAATATTTGTTAAATAATATCATCTAAAGGTACTCTACCAAAGTTGTTCAAATTTTGCCTCTTGTGTCAAAATTAGCCCCGCCCCTGGGAGCCATAGGTTTATCTTATATGTATATAGTTAAAACTTAAAAAATCATCTTCTCTAAATTTACAAAGGATAGAGTTAAGATATTTTGCATGAAACATTGTGTAGTGAACCTCTAGCAAGATTGTTCAAATTATAGCCCTGGGGTCAAAATTGGTTCCGCCCCGGGGTCATTGATTTTCATTATGTACATATAGTGAAAAAAAAAAAAATTTTGTCTGAAGGTTCAAGGCATAGAGCTTTGATGTTTGATATATAATATCATCTATAGATCCTCTACCAAAGTTGTTCAAATGTCAAAAATTGGCCCTGCCCGGGGTCAGTGATTCTCATTATGTACATGTAGTAAAACAGAAAATAAAACAAATGTTTTCTGAATGGGAGTAAGCTATAGCTTAGATATTTGACTTGAAATGTTGTTTGGTGGCCTGTATCAAGATTGTTAGTAAACCCTTGGGTCAAAATAATGCCTTGCCCAAGGGGACAGTGACCTACTTTCTTGTCCTTTGATGTACAGCAATGACATTTTGACCATGTGCACAGTTTTAGTTGTAAAATTGAACTTTGACCTAGATTTTTAAAATTTGACCTACTTTCTTGTCCTTTGATGTACAGCTATGAAATTTGAACCATGCGGTGGCATAGCATTTTTCTCAAATGCAATCTTGTTATTAATTGCTTTGAAACTTAATTATGTTATGGGTCATACATGTAACTTTTTATCTCAAAGTTAATGTTTCACTTCACCTGACTTAGTCAAAAGACCTGTCCTTTTTCCACTTTCAAGCATTATTTTAAAATACATTTTCATACAAACAGACCTGTTTTCAGTCTGTTGTTGAGGACTTGAAACAGCTGAGTAATGGTAAACCAGGAGTAAACATTGCATAAAACACCAAGATGATTAGAGTACATTTATTTGTAGCAAATTTTGTTATTATTTTAACGCAAGAGTTTTATGTTAATACCATTGTTATTAAATACATGTATGTGTTTCATGAAATCACTTGAATTAATTGTAATAATTTGAATAAATGTATTTTATTTTTAACCAAGATATTTGGACTATTTTATTTGCGTTGAACCTAAGGTGAGATTGTGTTGACAATGTTACATGCTCAAATAAGTTGGTCAACATGAACTATATGGTAGAGAAATCACTCAAGATGTGTCTCCTCATGAAAGAAAACACTCAAATAGATATTTGGTTAAAGTTCTAGCAACCTCATTTTGAGGTATTTTTATCGAAATTACACCCAAAATGATGAGTAAAATGTTTTATGTAGCAAAGCATTCTTTGATCTTTGAAAAAATAACCATGTTCTTTTAAATTGGATATTTTTATGCTCCCTGAAAAATTTCGGGGGAGCATATGGTTGCCGCCTTGTCCGTCCGTCCGTCTGTCCGTACAAACCAAGAGGTACTTGTGTGACTAGGAGAACAATCGGTAACAGTAAATTCTCTTTGATCCTATTCATTCCGTTTTTACTTGTGTGTCTTTTTGTAAGCCTTGTGTGACTAAAAATGGCTAAAAAGATCAAAGGAAAAGTCACAAAGTACCATTTCGTAGGTCTGTCCGTCCGTCCGTTCCTCAGCACAAACACTTTAGGTATATGAGCTAACTAACGGTACACTTGGACAAAAGAGATCAAAGGACTTCATTCCGTAAATAATAGTTAGCTCATAAGTAAACAATAGTTAGCCCACAAGGAAACAAAAGAAAAGAACAATAGAAATAGCTCATAAACCTGAAAAATTGGTACGTCCGCCCATCCGTCCGCTTTTCTTGTCCCGGACATAACTTTGAAACAACAAGAGGTATCAACATGAAACTTTGTGTAGGTGTGCATAGCACAAGAACCATAACTCTGCCTTGCCTAATTTTTGAATTATTGCCCTTTGTTTATTTTTACACTTTGAACTTTGTCCGGGACATAACTCTAAAACAATAAGAGGTATCAACATGAAACTTTGTAGGTAGATAGATATTATTGAGTAGGTGTGCAGTGCACAAGAACTGTTACCCTGCCTTGCCTAATACTTGAATTATTGCCCTTTGTTCATTTTTACACTTTGAACTTTGTCCAGGACATTACTCTAAAATTATAAGAGATATCAACATGAAACTTTGTAGATAGATAGGTATCATTGGGTAGAAGTACAGTGCTAGAAAATCATAACTCTGCCTTGCCTTATTTTGAAGTTATTGCCCTTTGTTCATTTCTACACTATGAATTTTACCCGGGACATAACTCTGAAACTATAAGAGATATCATCAGAAAACTTTATAGATAGATAGATCTCTTTGAATAGAAGTGCAGTGCAAAAAAACATAACATCACCTTGCGTTATTTTGGAGTTTTTGCACTTTGTTCATTTTTTTATTCTTTCCTGTGTCCAAAACCTTCTCGGGGGCATCACCCGGTTCAACCGGTTCTTGTTATATATAAACTGTGTTTACCTTTTTATATGCCCAAATAAATTTTGGTGTAAACAGTAAAATGTTATGCACCTGGTTATCTGTCTGTCCGTCTGTTAGCAGTTTTCGTGTCTTGTCTGTATTTTGGAGTGTTGGAAGGAAATTAAAACCTGGCAGAAATGTTAACCATAATGATATGATAATAATGATTTGGAGTCAGTCAAAAGTTTAGACTTTTTAGACATACAGACTTATCACATCTATATGTTTATAAGACATATAGGCTTTTAGGACATACATATATTATGAAGCAGAATACAAGTCTTCATTGCAGAAATACTGTCAGTAGTGATGTGTATGCTGTATTATGTTGGACAAGCCATCCAATGAAAACCTGCCCCATATGCTATTGTATCTGACCATATGCTTCCATGTACTTTGGCTTGGGTGGCAGATATCTCTTTCACAACAAGTGATAGTCGCAAATTTCTGCCATGATAGAAGTCAAACTTTGAAGTTCCAATGGTAAATGCAGGTGTGTTTCTAAATGGCCTCTTGAAATTTATTGTGTATGTATATGGAAATGGAGTGTTGCGTTTCCAAATGCTTTCATATCCTGATTGACAGTGCTCTGTCTGCTGTATTTCAGTGATGTTCCTGAAGCTAACAAAGTCTACAGCCAGTTTGTCTATATTAGTTCCCATGGATACCAACCCCTCGCTATTTCTTGCAATATCTTCATTTACTTCAGTCACTTTTTTCTCTATCCTGCATTTATGGGAAATAAATAAAATTGAAATACACAATTATTGCATATATAATCTAACATTATATAAAAGTGTCTTTAAAATATATTGGTATGGTTTTAAAGTCAAATGTTATTCATGTTAAACTGTTAGCTGCAAATGTTTTTATTCACTCAAAGCTTTTTTGTTAGAGAAATTTTGAAGAATAAAAAAAATCTATGCTAGAAAATAAATATCTTTCTTATGTCCCTAAAGGTAGTGATATAGTAATCCGTCTGTTGCAGATTAAACATTGACAGTATGATGTGTTATTTGCAAGATTAAGATCCTAAGCATATAGCCTATACAAAGATGAGTGGCCTAAATTGTAGATGTACAGTAAAAACTCTGAAAACTGGACCCTGTTTAAAATATACAGAATATCAACTTACAAGTTTTCTATATCCTGTTTTGCCTGGTTCTGTTCTGCTTTCATTCTCACAATTGCATTCTCAACAACTTGACAACATGTTGTAGAGTTTCCAGGTGGAGTAATTGGAGGCGTTGTCTAAAAATTAATTAAAATGTCTTTTATAACATGCTTTTCAGTAGTTTATAGAAATATATCAGTGAAATAAAAAACTGTTATTTCACTGCAATTTGCTGTTGAGGTTTGTAGTAACTAGTAGATGATCCCAATTTTTTTTGAGTTCAGTAGAAGATCAAAGTCACAGTGGTCTTAACCTAGAAAAGCACGTCTAATCAAATCAAAATTTATTTATTGTCAGTATATATTATAAAATTTCACAAAACATAAGCTATGTATAGCTTTTGACAGGCATAATCTGTCCAACCAATTTGGCTTACAGTGGAAAAATTTAAACATGGAGATGATTGAATTTTGGGGTCAGTTTGGTTGAAGGTCAAGTTCAGTGGCATTGACCAGAAAAACTTGTCCAACTCATAACTAGAGGATTCAGTTTGGGCTACATTATCCTAAAATTAAGTGTTAAGGTCAGTAGTAAAGCCTGGATTGGTTTTGAGGCTAGCCAGTCTAAGGTCAAAGTTTTACTTTGGCATTGCCAATTTAAAATTTGTCTGACAAATAACTAACAAATAACTAGAGTATTGTTTGATCTACAGTCCTAAGATTTGGTTTGTCATGATAAGAAGAGGGCCCCTTTTCTATTTTAAATTAAGTCAGTCAGACAAAGGTCAAGATACTTATAGCTTTGACCATTAGAAATGTGATGGATCAATGAATTGAGAATGATTTAGCTGACAGTATTAAACATTTAATGGGGGAGATTGGTTATACCAGAAAATGACCCCAGTGATTTTAAGGTCAGTGTGTCAAAGTTAAGTTATCATCAAAATCTTTTCCAGTCAATAACTATAAAAATATTGAGCTGTTCTTTACTGTTGCATTTGCTCTAAATAAACAGACATTGTAAACTTTATTTTCAATACAATAGGTCCAGTGAATTTTGAAAGTTAACAGGACCTTGTTATAGCCTACATGGACTTGCAAACATATTTGTGCAGGTATTTATATAATAAATAAGGAAGTTAAATTTTACCCTGATATGTTTTACACTGACACCATTCTGTCCTCAGTTGAGTGCTTTTAGGCCGATGGTCACCTTGTTTATAGATAGTTGTTAAGAGACTACTTTGGAGGAAGTCAGAAATTGGTGTTGGTGAGTTGAGTTGGTGTGCAGAAACTAAACAATTACATGACTGTATAATGTGCTTATACATGTTTTAAGAAATAATGTCAATGCACTTAACCATGTTTGAAGATATCTTTAAGAAAGTGAAATTTGTTATTTGAAACATAGCATTTAAATAAGTGTTAACTTACATTTGTGGAGATTCCTGTAACAAGTCCGCATTGTGATTTTATCACATCAACTTCTGCCTGAGTTGATTTTAGCTTTGTCTGAGTAAATGTCAGTTCAGCTTTGGTTGATGTCAGTTCTGACTTGGTTGATGTCAGTTCAGCTTTGGTTGATGTCAGTTCTGATTTGGTTGACATTAGAACACCACGTAACAAGGACATTTCACTGTTAATTGTATCTATTTTAACAGCTAGCATGGAATACACATCATCAGCACTCAAATTAGCTTCTGTATACTTCAGAGTGTAGAAAATCAACATTGATTGTAGCAAAATCTTGTAAATGCACATTTTTAAGTGTTAAAGTTCCTCAAACAAACTTGAGAAGTATCTTAAACTAGTGTTTATACTCATTTGATTTCTTTTTATAGAATTTTAAGTACTTGTATGCTCATAAAAACAGAAGATCTTGTCAATTAAAGCATGTTTGACAGACATTTGCTGTAAATCTATAATTTTCATATTTTCCTTATAAAGTCAAGAAGTATGAAATTAAATTTTTTTTTCAATTGGTCCGTCAGTACATAAGAATACAGTTTATTGAAACTTTGCTTCTTTTTGTCCACACCCACTCTTATTCCTTCCAATACTTTATGAATCTATCAACATGAAACTTGAAATGCTTGAGTGTCATGACAAGGAACAGTTGCTAGGCAAGGGAAATTATCATGAAGCAATATTTTTAGCCGTTAATCCCCATTGATACTTGTTTATCATGAAAAGGTACAGTTGTAAGACAGTTGTTTCCCTGCCCCAATACAAGCTTGGACCTTTCTGTGACTTTCTTTCCATGGACAAAATCATAAATAGAAGTTTATGGTAACAATGTTGTTTTTTATGTCTTTGTACATTCTTAATTATTTTATACACAAGTTAGTACAGCAATAGGCACAGCATTTAGCTAATAATTTTTGCCCAATCATCAAGCTATGTTGTATCACATGACGGTATCCACTAACCACCAACCATTATTCTTTACTTGTTATGTGTGATTGCCTTGGCAATTTTCATTTAATTTTTGGAAAACCACCTCCTCTTACACACCTACCCCTATATTTTGGTACATTGTGAAGGTTAATATATAACTATAGTTGTAAGAAAATAAAATGTTGTGCTTTGTTAAAAAAAAGTCAGTGTAACTGTGATATTTAGGTTGGTTTCTGATATCCAGGTTCTGTTATCTGGTTCTCTGATGTTCAGGTTTGTCCAGTAATCTGGTTCTTTGATGTTCAGGTTCTTTCAGTAATCTGGTTCTTTGATGTTCAGATTCTTTCAGTAATCTGGTTTTTTGATGTTCAGGTTTCTCCAGTAATCTGGTTTTCTGATGTTCAGGTTTCTCCAGTAATCTGGCCCTTTGATGTTCAGGTTTCTCCAGTAATCTGGTCCTTCGATGTTCAGGTTTCTCCAGTAATCTGGTCCTTTGATGTTCAGGTTTCTCCAGTAATCTGGTCCTTTGATGTTCAGGTTTCTCCAGTAATCTGGTCCTTTGTGTTCAGGTTTCTCCAGTAATCTGGTTTTTTGATGTTCAGGGCTCTCCAGTAATCTGGTCCTTTGTGTTCAGGTTTCTCCAGTAATCTGGTTTTTTGATGTTCAGGTTTCTCCAGTAATCTGGTCCTTTGTGTTCAGGTTTCTTCAGTAATATGGTTCTTTGATGTTCAGGTTCCTCCAGTAGTCTGGTTCTTTGATATTCAGGTTATCTGAAATTTAGGTTTCTCCAATATTTAAATTTTTCTGAAAATCAGAAGCCTCTCAAATTGTTTTCTCTGATATTGAGGTTTGATATTCAGGTATCTCTGACATTCAAAATATGTTGTTTATGAAGAAAAGAATTCTTCTGTTTTTTTCGCCACAAAGTAGCTTTAAAGTTGCATGTTTAAACTGTTTCTACTTGATAATGTTTAACAATGTAAATCTTATCTTTTTCTTCTATTCGTAAAATGTTACTGATTTATCTTTTGACAAAGATTATCTTTTGTTTTGTAGCTTTGAAACAACAAATGAATTTGCATGACAGTAAATTCAACATTTGTTTAACATGTTTGTACAGGTATTTATATGATAAATAAGGAAGTTAAATTTTATGCTGATATGTTTGAATATTTAGATAAAATTTTGACTATGTAATATCTTTGTCAGTGTCACATCAACGGGCACATCCTTTGAACGCTATGCAGTCAATATTTGAGGCGCACTATGACAAAATCAACATAGTGTGTTAGTGAACAGCATTGATCCAGACCAGCCTGCGCATCCTCGCAGTCTGATAAGGATCCATGCTGTTCGCTTACAGTTTCTCTACTTGTAATAGATTTTGGTAAGCGAACAGCATGGATCCTGATCATACTGAGCGGATTCGCAGGCTGGTCTGGATCCATGCTGGTAGCAAACGCATGAATTTTTATATTCTATTCTAAATATTTGAAGGCGATAAGGTTGTATGGATGATAAATATTTGTATATCTGTGCAATACTAAGGTCTTCATGCAAAGGCATTTTGAACGAATCCTATCATCAACAGCAACCAGAAATTGCCGGCAGCTCCATAACATCATAATTTGTAAATGGTGGACAATTCTGGCCAATTGCTTTTGAAATACATGTATTGTTAAAGCCAGGTTGTCAGCATCCGTGTGAAACTCTAACATGTGTGACCTTAACTTAAATTCCTTTCTATTAGGACATCATGAGAAAAACAGATGAGCACAGTGGTTCATGATTGTTTTGTTTAAAAAAATATTTGGTTTTATGTCACACCGACACAGTATATGCCATATGGTGATGTTCCAGCTTTACTGGTGGAGGAAGACTTCTGGTGCACTTCCATGCATTATTTCAGGCACAAACAGGTACCTTAGTAGAACCATAATGTTCCGTAAGCTAGCTGGATAGCTTCCTCACAAGAAAGAATTCAAAGTCCCTGTAGGGATTCAAACCCACAGCGGTAAGGGGCAAGTGGTTTGAAGTAGGTTCATGAACTAAAGCGTTAGAAATGGTATAAAAAAGCAGCATCCTTTCAACCGCAACATTCGTGATTTCCCAAGGATTAAAAAAAAAAAAAAAAGCCTTGGTACCTACCCTACCTAACTTTTATCAGCCTGTTCCTCTAAACACAGAATTTTTTTTTTTGGCCTAATGAAGAAATGATATGAAAACCCCAAGACACTCCCCCAAAAATAAAAGGAAATATATTATTCACATTGTTAAGAAAAATCTTAAATAAAAATCACAATGTAAAACAAAAAATGTTGACACATATATCATTTCTTTTTGTAAAAAAAAAAAAAAATAAGTATACATTTGAAATATATGCTCACACATTCATCAGGTAACAAAAACTAATTTTTTTGTCAAATTATTATTGTTGAATTTTTTACAGGTCATGCATTTGTTTATTTTATTGTTCAATTATCCAACTAACATACAATATTCAAGGGTTGTTCGGGAAGTTCTGGGAATTTTGTCATATCTCCTATATTTTTCGTTTCTAAGACGTAATATTTTGCACATACTAAGATTAGCATATCACGGAACTATTCCTAAAAATTGAATGGAATCAGACAACAATAGCCGGAAATAGCAGTAACCATAGCAACACTATAATGCCGCACCGCAGCAGTCCGACTCTAAAGAAAGGTATAATGCGCTACACTAATAATATTTCGTAATTTTGATAATGTAAAAAATGCGCGAAAATGCTGGTCAGCAGCGGAGCGTCATGACGTTATTTCCTGAAAACATCATAATGTTATTTAAATTCTCAACGGATCAACATTGTTTTAAAGTTGTTGCCCAGAGCCACTGAGTAAACAACATGACGTCGATAGGTGACGTTGAATTGCGAAGCATCGTGAAATTTTGTGTTGCGCTGGAAAAGTCTTCCACAGAAACAATGAAAATGATCAATTCCATAGGAAAATACAAGAAATGCAGTCCGGCTACAGTGTATAGATGGTATGCTCGTTTTAAAGAAGGAAGAAACGCTCCATACAGCCCGGACCTCGCTCCAATGGACTATTGTGTGTTCCCGGAGCTCAAATCACAGCTGCGTGGAAAACGCTTTGACTCAGCTGACAATCTTGTTAAGCATACGCAAGCTATAGTCTCGTCCTTTACCGATAGCTGGTACGTGGAAACATACAATAAGTGGATCAGCCGACACAGGAAATGCATCGAAATTGCAGGTGACTACGTTGAAAAGGTGCGACGATCGATGGACTTTAACGTCGCATAACGTTGCAAATGACGTCGGCGTGCTCCGGGTGTTTGTTATATGGTTATTTACTATTTTTATTATGTTTTAGTTCTGTGTGTATGATGATGATATTTTCAGATACTGTACAGTATATATTGAAATAAATGAGTATATATTTATATTTACGCTAACCCGACTACAACGTGTGCTATAAAACAATTCGCAGAACTTCCCGAACAACCCTCGTATATATATATATATATAATATATATATATATATATACATGTATATATAAACTGCTTTGATATATATAGTTTAAAGATTTTGTGTTTAGGTCAATGATTATTAGTACATATAGCTTTATTATGCCCCCATTTTGAAAAAAAGGGGGTATATTGCTTTGCACTTGTCGGTCCGTCGGTCCGTAGACCAAATGGTTTCCGAGTGATAACTAAAGAACCCTTAGGCCTAGGAACTTCAAACTTGGTATGGTGATTGGTCATGACCAGTAGATGACCCCTATTGATTTTGGGGTCAAGGGGTCAAAGGTCAAGGTCACATTGACCTTGAAAGCAAAAACGGTGTCCGATCAATAACTAAAGAACCTTAAGGCCTAGGAACTTTAAACTTGGTATGGTGATTGGTCATGACCAGTAGATGACCCCTATTGATTTTGGGGTCAAGGGGTCAAAGGTCAAGGTCACATTGACCTTGAAAGCAAAAACGGTTTCCGATCAATAACTAAAGAACCTTAAGGCCTAGGAACTTCAAACTTGAGATGGTGATTGGTCATGACCAGTAGATGACCCCTATTGATTTTGGAGTCAAGGGGTCAAAGGTCAAGGTCACATTGACCTTGAAAGCAAAAACAGTTTCTGATCAATAACTAAAGAACCTTAAGGCCTAGGAACTTCAAACTTGGTATGGTGATTAGTCATGACCAGTTGATGACCCCTATTGATTTTGGGGTCAAGGGGTCAAAGGTCAAGGTCACATTGACCTTAAAAGCAAAAACGGTTTCCGATCAATAACTAAAGAACCTTAAGGCCTAGGAACTTCAAACTTGGTATGGTGATTGGTCATGATCAGTAGATGACCCCTATTGATTTTGGGGTCAAGGGGTCAAAGGTCAAGGTCACATTGACCTTGTAGGTAAAAACGGTTTCCGATCAATACCTAAAGAACCTTAAGGCTTAGGAACATCAAACTTGGTATGGTGATTGGTCATGATCAGTAGATGACCCCTATTAATTTTGGGGTCAAGGGGTCAAAGGTCAAGGTCACATTGACCTTGTAGGTAAAAACGGTTTCCGATCAATAACTAAAGAACCTTAAGGCCTAGGAACTTCAAACTTGGTATGGTGATTGGTCATGATCAGTAGATGACCCGTATAGATTTTGGGGTCAAGGGGTCAAAGGTCAAGGTCACATTGACCTTTTAATTAAAAACGGTTTCTGATCAATAACAAAAGAACCCTTAGGCCTAGGAACTTCAAACTTGGTATGGTGATTGGTCATGATCAGTAGATGACCCCTATTGATTTTGGGGTCAAGGGGTCAAAGGTCAAGGTCACATTGACCTTGTAGGTAAAAACGGTTATCGATCAATAACTAAAGAACCTTAAGGCCTAGGAACTTCAAACTTGGTATGGTGATTGGTCATGATCAGTAGATGACCCGTATAGATTTTGGGGTCAAGGGGTGAAAGGTCAAGGTCACATTGACCTTTTAATTAAAAACAGTTTCTGATCAATAACAAAAGAACCCTTAGGCCTAGGAACTTCAAACTTGGTATGGTGATTGGTTATGACCAATCAGATGACCCCTATTGATTTTGGCGTTAAGGGGTCAAAGGTCAAGGTCACATTGACCTTGTAGGTAAAAACGGTTTCCGATCAATAATGAAAGAACCCTTAGGCCTAGGGACTTCAAACTTGAGATGGTGATTGGTCATGATCAGTAGATGACCCCTATTGATTTTGGGGTCTAGGGGTCAAAGGTCAAGGTCACATTGACCTCTTAGGTAAAAACGGTTTCCGATCAATAACTAAAGAACCCTTAGGCCTAGGAACTTCAAACTTGGTATGGTGATTGGTCATGACCAGCAGATGACCCCTATTGATTTTGGGGTTAAGGGGTTAAAGGGCAAGGTCACATTGACCTTGTACGTAAAAATGCTTTCCGATCAATAACTTAAGAACCCTTATGCCTAGGAACTTCAAACTTGGTATGGTGATTGGTCATGACCAGCAGATGACCTATTGATTTTGGGGTCAAGGGGTCAAAGGTCAAGGTCACATTGACCTTGTAGGTAAAAACGGTTTCCGATCAATTAACTAAAAACGCTTAGGCCTAGGAACTTCAAACTTTGTGTGATGATTGGTCATGACCAGCAGATGACCCCTATTGAGTTTTAGGTGAAGGGGTCAAAGGTCAAGGTCACATTGACCTTTTAAGTAAAAACGGTTTCTGATCAATAATTCAAGAACGCTTAGGCCTAGGAACTTCAAACTTGGTATGGTGATTTGTCATGACCAGCAGATTACTCCTATTGATTTTGGGATCAAGGGGTCAAAGGTCAAGGTCACAATGACCTTGTAAGTAAAAACGGTTTCTGATCAATAACTAAAGAACGCTTCGGCCTAGAAACTTCAAACTTGGCATGGTGATTGGTCATGACCAGCAGATGACCCCTATTGATTTTGGGGTCAAAGGTCAAGGTCACATTGACCTTGTATGTTAAAATGGTTTCAGATCAATAATAAGAGAACCCTTAGGCCTAAGAACTTCAAACTTGGCATGGTGATTGGTCATGACCAGCAGATGACCCCTATTGATTTTGGGGTCAAGGGGTCAAAGGTCAAGGTCACATTGACCTTGTAGGTAAAAACGGTTTCTGATCAATTTACTAAAAACGCCTAGGCCTAGGAACTTCAAACTTTGTTTGATGATTGTTCATGACCAGCAGATGACCCCTATTGAGTTTTGGGTCAAGGGGTCAAAGGTCAAGGTCATGACCAGTAGATACTTTATAACCCTTATTAATTGTTTGATCACTGGGTCAGAAGTCATGCATAATAACCTTATCACATGACTAATTGGCTGCTGATAGGGGGCATACATGTTTTACAAACATATCTTGTTGATTTTAAGGTCAGTCATCAAAGGTCAAGGTCACCTTTTTTTAAAATTTAAATAACCCATATCTCATTTTCATTGCTGTGTTAATAATATTTTTTTTTACCTTGATAATTGCAATTTGTCAAATGTTTAATGAAGTAGATCCTTCTTAAATTGACAAAGTATGGTATATATGTGTATTTAATATTTACTGTCAGTTATTGAGTAAATTATGAAAACTGTGTAATGGGAAGTTACATTTAAAACATATGGGGAAAAACATACCAGAAAAATTTCGAGGGAGTATATAGTCAGCGCCTTGTCCGTCTGTCTGTCCGTCAGCACTCACAGGACAGTAATTATGTGGCTAGAGGGACAATAGGTAACTGTTCTTTCTCTTTGATGTCATTCATTCTGTAATGCTTTTATGTGGCTATTTTCTTTTGTGTGGCTAAAAAGAACAATAGAGAGAACATTAGAGTAGCCACATTATTACTCTCCTGTTAGAACATCCGTCTGTCTGTTAGTCCGTTGTCTTGTCGGGAGCATAACTTGAAAACCCTTGGAGATAATTTGTTTAAACTTCATTCAGTGGTCAAGAGGGCATTGAGGGGGAGAGCAGTGTCAAAAAACCATAACTCTATTTTGCCCGGTTTTTGAATTATCTCCCCTTATAGAAAAATCTTGTCCGGGACATAACTCTAAACAATAAGAGATAGAATAGATCTCAATGGGTAGATGTGCAGTGCATAAGAACAATAACTCTTTTCTTCCTAATTTTGGAGTTATTGCCCTTTGTTAATTTTAACACTTTGAACTGTGTCTGGAACATAACTCTAAAACTATAAAACTATAAGAGATATCAAGATGAAACATTATAGGTAGATAGATCTCACTGAGTAAAAGTGCAGTGCAAAAGAACTTTAACTCTGTTAAGCCTCATTTTTGAATTATCTCCCCTTTTAGAAAAATCTTGTCAAAACTATAAGAGATATCAACATGAAACTTTGTAGGTAGATATATCTAAATGGGTAGATTTGCAGTGCACAAGAATTATAACTCTGCCTTGCCTAATTCTGGAGTTATTGCCCTTTGTTTATTTTTACTTTTTGAACTTTGTCTGGGAAATGACTCTAAAATTATAAGATATATATTAACATGAAACTTTGTTGGTAGATTGATCTCATTGAGTATAAGTGCAGAACAAAAAAACCATAACTCTATTTTGACCAATTTTTTTAATTATCTCCCCTTTTAAAAAAATCTTGTCCAGGAAATAACTAAAACTACAAGAGATATCAACATGAAACTTTGTAGGTAGATGGATCTCAATGGGTAGATGTGCAGTGCACAAGAACTTGAACTCCACCTTGCCAAATTTTGTAGTAATTGCCCTTTGTTCATTTTTACATTTTGAAGTTGTCCGGGACATAACTCGGAAACCATAAAAGATATCAACAAGAAACTAAAATTGTAGGTTGATAGATCGCATTGATTAGAAGTGCAGTGCAAAGAACAGTAACTCTGCCTTGCCTAATTTTGGAATTATTGCACTTTGAACTTTTTCCAGGGACATAACTCTGAAGCTACAAGAGGTGTACTTTCCTGTGTCAAAAACCTATTTGGGGAGCATCAGACGGCTCAAACCGGGCTCTTGTTTTGTAAAGGGCATTTGATACCAATTACCTAATAAAGTATGATACATGATGATTATACAAATGTTGCAACAATTATTAATTGATTTTGACATAAAATTGGCATAGAGAGAATTATATTCCTTTTCACTTTTATAGTACTGAAATAAAACAATCAGATTTTGTCTTCTTTTAGTAAACAATTTAAATCATACTACTATTGGTGATGGTTTACATCTTCTATGATATTTTTCATCCAAAAGTATTCAATAAGAATAATAACACTTTTATAGTTTCATACTTTGATTACAAAGATGTTTTGAAGCTGAATGTATCAAATGTGTCAGACAGTTTCCAAATAATAAAGGACAATGTAAAAGACAATGAAAAAAAAAACCTTAAAGAATGGTGAATTTCTTGTGAAATATCTGAAAAAAGGGTCATTTAGGTTTCACATTAGTATTTTTGATGTAAGAAAGAAAAAGAACAGATTGTATAAGAACCAATCTGAGCGTGGAGTTTGATTAAAGTAATTGTATATAATTATCTGAAAAGAAAAAAATCACAATTTCCGATTTTTCCCCCATAATTTACATGGTACCGGACAAATTCACAATTCAGGGGAAAAAATTCTGTAACAGAATAAAACTTAAGTTAACTCTAAAGAAAAATAGTCACTAAGCATTATAATTTTAATGCAGTTTTTAAGTCGGGCAAGCCATCCAATGAAAACCAGCACCACTGATTTTTGTATCAGCCCATACAGTAGCATGTACTTTGGCTTGTTTGTTAGACAATTCTTTCACAGTCAATGATAGTCTCAAATTTCTGTCTTTATAGAAGTCAAGCATAGAAGCGCCCATGGTAAATGCAGGTGTGTTTGTAAAAGGCTTCTTGAAAGTTATTGTAAATGTGATGGGAAATGGGTTGTCGTTATTCCAATTACGGACATGACCTGATTGGCAATGCTCCGTTTTCTCCATTTCAGATTTTACAACCTTTGTGATTTGTGAGCTCTGGTCTTGAACTGTCTCAGCAAGTCTGGCATGATTGTTTGTTAAGTCATTGAGGTTGCTTGAAAGTTTTTCTAACTCTGATCTGGTTTTAATCTGACACATTGTTTTATTTTGTATCTCTTTATCAAAGGTATTTTGTTGTTGTTCCACTGTCATGGAAAGTTTTTCATGATTGTTGGATAGTTCCTGCAGATTCTCAGCTTCCTTCTCAAGATTCCTTTCCAATTTTTTTAGATCAAGAGTGTTATTTGATATTTCTTTTTTGATATCTTTCATTTCATTTCTTATTTGTTGTGTTAGGTTGTCCAAGTTTCTAGATATAACATATAAATTGTTATTAGTTTTTATAATTTTTGTCTCTGTTTTCACAATTTCCAAGTTGTAACTTGCCATCTCTTCGATCAACACTTTTGCCTCTTGTCCCATCTTTACCAACTGTTTGTCACTGTTGTTCCTGAGGCTAACAAGGTCTACAGCCAGTTTGTCTATTTTAGTCTCCATGGATACCAACCCCTCACTATTTCTTGCAATACCTTCATTTACTTTAGCCACTTTCTTCTCTATCCTGCATTTATATAAAATAAATAAAATATAATATCTCTAAAATATATTGGTACGGTTTGAAAATCAAATGTTTTTCATGTTAAACTGTTAGCTGCCAATGTTTCTTTCCTTTTTTGTTCGAGAAATTTTGAAGAAAAAAAAGAATCTATGTTAAGAAAATAAAATTATCTTTCATATGTCCCTAAAGGAAGTGATAAAGTTAATGCCCCTTCATTCTGTCTGTGGCATATATCAATTGAACATTGTCGGATGATTTGCCATACACATAATGCAGGTCCTAAGCAGATTATAGCTTATACATAGATGTATAAATTTGCAAAAATTGTCGATGTATAAAGTGGCCAAAACTGTGTTTAAAGTGGCCAGAATTGTCAATGTATAAAGTGGCCAAAATTGTCAATGTATAAATTGGCAAAAATTGTTGATGTATAAAGTGGCCAAAATTGTCGATATATAAAGTGGGCAGAATTGTCAATGTATGAATTGGCCAAAATTGTCAATGTATCAATTGGCCAATATTGTCGATATATAAAGTGGCCTAAATTGTCGATATATAAAGCAGCCAAAATTGTCAATGTATATAGTTGCCAAAATTGTTGATGTATAAATTGGCAAAAATTGTCGATGTATAAAGTAGCCAAATTTGTCGATGTATATAGTGGCCAAAATTGTAGATGTTTAAAGTGGCCAAAACAGTTTTGTATAAAGTGGCCAAAATTGTCAATGTATAAAGTGGCCAAAATTGTCGATGTATCAAGTGGCCAACATTGTAGATGTATAAATTGGCAAAAATTGTCGATGTATAAAGTAGCCAAATTTGTCGATGTATATAGTGGCCAAAATTGTAGATGTTTAAAGTAGCCAAAACAGTTTTGTATAAAGTGGCCAAAATTGTCAATGTATAAAGTGGCCAAAATTGTCGATGTATCAAGTGGCCAACATTTTAGATGTATGAAATGGCCAAAATTGGAGTCTATCTCTCTGTGTTTGGTTCATACATGTAACTTAACTTTTACTGTCTTTGATGGATTTTGAAATTGTCTCATTCTGGCTTGAAGTGATCTGTAAAACCATAGCAAGGTCATTAAAAAAATGACTTTTTTTTAAAGAATGGACCAAATTAATTTGGAAATGCAGCTTTTCAAACTGAGATACAAATTAGACATTTTCATTTAGAATTTTCAAAATTTCAACAAATTGCTGCAATAAAGAATTTTACCCAAAAATGAATGTAGTTCTCATTTAATGACACACATTGTTTCACCATTACACAAAACTTTTTACATTTACAGTACTTTTTGTGGAAAAAAAACTGTTCAAAGTAACTTGAAAATAACTTGAAAACCCTTGGAGATAATTTGTTGAAACTTCATACAGTGGTAGAGGGCATCGAGGGGGAGTGCAGTGTCAAAGAACCATAACTCTATTTTGCCTGGTTTTTGAATTATCTCCCCTTATAGAAAAATCTTGTCCGGGGCATAACTCTAAAACTATAAGAGATATCAACATGAAACTTTGTAGGTGAATAGATCTCAATGGGTAGATGTGCAGTGCATAAGAACAATAACTCTTTTCATCCTAATTTTGGAGTTATTACCCTTTGTTAATTTTAATACTTTGAACTTTGTTCGGAACATAACTTGAAAACCCTTGGAGATAATTTGTTGAAACTTCATACAGTGGTAGAGGGCATCGAGGGAGAGTGCAGTGTCAAAGAACCATAACTCTATTTTGCCTGGTTTTTGAATTATCTCCCCTTATAGAAAAATCTTGTCCGGGGCATAACTCTAAAACTATAAGAGATATCAACATGAAACTTTGAAGGTGAATAGATCTCAATACGTAGATGTGCAGTGCATAAGAACAATAACTCTTTTTGTCCTAATTTTGGAGTTATTGCCCTTTGTTTATTTTAATACTTTGAACTTGAACTTTGTCCGGAACATTATTTGAAAACCCTTGGAGATAACTTGTTGAAACTTCATACAGTGGTAGAGGGCATCGAGGGGGAGTGCAGTGTCAAAGAACCATAACTCTATTTTGCCTGGTTTTTGTATACATTGCTTGCAATGTATACAGAGTTATAAGCTATATCTCAGAAAAGATACAGGTTTAATGCATTACCGAACAACATCCACTCCCGGATAAAAACCGCTATAGAAACTAGTTCTTCATTCTGCAGTAGCATTACATTCCGACTACACATCATTAAAATAGTGTTTGAAAAGTTGTTTAAATGCTTTGAAATTTCCAAATCGTTCATTTTCATGAAATAATAGACTCTATATTCCTTTAAAGAAAACAAAAAATAAAAGTTCATTGATAAAATCGTAGTTTATACCTACGCGTTAAACTTCGCATATACGCATGCGCTTGCTAGCATGAATGAATACATCGTAAATATAGTAAGGTCGTCAGAATTATATAAATGGGACGAAACATCTCAGATAGATATTTAATCAAATAAAATTCCCGATTTACATTTATGCAATAAAATTGCCCTAAAATGTTTTACAAAATGAGTATGGAGCTCCGTAACAAAATTTACCAGCGTATACCGGAAAATGTTTTTTTTTTTTTTTTAAACCTGGCAATTATCGTGGCTTCGAAAAATAGAAATTCCGTAAGCTATTCTTTTGAATGCCTTTTTTACACCTGATTTTCCTTTCACTTTTGTATGCCTTAGACTTTTGAAAAGAAATATGTTTCGAAATTCAGCGAAGATTGCCTGATTCAGTACGGGTAAAAAAAAAAGATTCGGCCGCTCGACCGTTCGACCCATAACAATTCGTCGAACTTGGGATATTGACGATTAAGCCAGAGCGTGGAGCTAAATATAGGCATATGTGGCCAGATTCGACGATAAGAAATAATCATTTGAAACTGACTGTAAATCAGTGTAAGCATTAAGAAATAAATACATTAAATTTATGTTCAGAAAATAGGAATTATTTAAATCTTCTTATATTAATGGGTGCATGGAATTGCCGAAAAACACCGAAAAACCCCAAAAAATACCGAAAAACACTTAATATACAAAAAGAAATATTTAGGCTGTGATTAAATTCAGCAATATAAACAATTTTTGATGCTTATTTGATGAAATGGGTTCAATAACATCAGTTTTAAATCGATGATATATCATAAAATACGCTGATGAATGTATTCGCTGAGCCTGCGTCGCACATAGAAAAGCCGAAAAACACATGTCACAGGCAAAAAAAAAAAAATGCTAATTTCCATTTTAATCACCAGAGAAATTGTTTTTCACAATTCCGATCAATTAATTTATCAGTTAATTGTCAGCATTATATCAAAAAGAACACACTATAAAAATGTTTTTGGAAACTCAACGGATAATCTTAGAAAATATGGATAAGCCGAAAAACACTTTTCACGGCGATACAATTGGTATAAATTCCAACAAAATTAGTTTTATCTACTTTTTTTCTATCCTTTAAATGATTAAAATTTACTTTCTTTTTTGCAACCAGTGTAAATTAGAGAATGATTCTATTCTGTATTTAATGCGATATGAAAGTGTTTTCGGCAAAGTAACAGTCTAGCTTAAAAAAAAAAAACATGGAAAAGCCAAAAAAAAAAAAAAACAAAAAAACACACACACACATTTTTTACAGGCGTTAAAATAGTCGTAGTTAAAACAAGAGCCGCTATTTTTTTTTTTTCAACCTTTTAAATGAATGAATAACTATTACTTTCTTTTGTTACCAATGGAAAATGTCAGTGATATTATTTTTATAAATACAGTATGAAAGTGTTTTTCGTTTACGTAACGGTCTAGCGTCAAAAACATGGAAAAGCCAAAAAAAAAGCACAAAAAAAAAACAAAAACAAACATTTTTTACTGGCGATGAAATGGACATTTTTAAAATTAGAACTATTAAATAAATTTTTCAAAACCGTTTAAATGAATGATTTATAACATTATTTGTAAGCAATATCAGTAATATTTTTGTAATAAACATTTTATGAAAGTGTTTTTCAGCTATGTTACTGCCTAGCGTCAAAAACATAGAAAAGCAAAAAAAAAAAAAAAAAACAACAACAAAAAAACCCCCAAACAAACAACACATTTACTTGCGATAAAAAAGATATATTTAAAAAAGTGCTGCTTAATACATTTTTCAACCGTTTTAAATGAATAACTATTACATAAAATTATTACCTTTGTAAAATGTCAGTTATTTTTTTGCAATAAGTACAGTATGAAAAACTTGTGTTTTTTCGGCTATGTAGCAGTCAGCGTTAAAACATCGGAAAGCCGAAAACCATATTGGACTCGCGATAAAAAAGGTATATGAATAAAAACACCCATACAATTAGACTTTTCAATCGTTTAAATAATTAACTTTTTACTTTTTATTTGTTTATAGTAAAAACTAATCGAACAGTCGTTTTTATATTTATATGCTATATGAACTTGCGAAGTTACAATAGATTAAAGAACATATCCAGCAAAAATTCGGACAGTTATACAGTTCTGTGTTAATCTTGGAAAGACGCCTGACGAGACAAAAACAATGATCGAAAGTGTGACAAATAAACCGTCAGTGTGTCGTTCTCTAGTTTTATAAGTGGCATCGCCGATTTTCGGATGGAAGGGAAAAGTGTAGGGGAGGATTCACGGATTGGTCGACCTTGATTGGTCGAGCTTTGATGCACACATTGAGAAAAAAGCGACCCGAATCTATTGACAATTTAATTTTTCACCAAAGACAATGCACCTGCTCACCGTGCCCGGGACACACAGCTGACCATTCAAATCCAGCTTGGAGCAGAAATACTCAGTCATCCACCATATTCGCCTGATCTTTCCCCATGTGACTTCGCCTTGTTTCCCAGGTTAAAGAAAAAGTTTGAGAGGGAGAACGTTTTGACAATCTAGACGAGTTGGGAGGAGCCACCCAATGCATACTGTCATCATTCAGCCAGGAATGGTATGCGAGTACATTTAGAGACTGGGTCCGCCGCCATGAAAAATGTGTGCAGGTTAAAGGGGAATACTTTGGAAAGTTATAAGGCAAAACGGTAACGTAGATTACTTCCTATGATAGCATAACGTCGTTTGTGACGTCGTGAGCTGCGCCGCGTTTTGTCATGTCTATACATGTATATATAATCTGGTGCAGAATAGCTAATTCTTGTACAATCTTTACAATATTTTGAGAATTTGCCGACATATGCTCACTAAATAAGATACTAGAATTTCATGTGATTTGCTTTATTACTTTTTGAAGGGTGTCCACCAATTTTTGGATCACCCCTCGTATAGAAAAGCAATAATTTACTTAATCATTACGCAGTATCTTATTATTTATTTCTGTGAAAAACCTCAAGGTTGGGTTTTAAGCAATTGTGAATTGTCGGGCCATCCATCTTATTTCAACTGTGTACTGTCCACCATTTGCATGGATACCCCCGGCCCAACCCTTTACATTTATCATTTGTCAGTTTAAATGTTAAAACAACCCTGTGTTCCGACGTTGACATTGCAGTTGTTAACAAACGCTGGTCTTTTTGTTTGTTTAACTTTCGGGCAAATTTTTCCCCAATTTTCACACAACATCGTAAGAAAGTGTTGACATGTTTGCTCGAGTTGAACATGGTCACCTTTGGGTTAAAAAAAGAAAAGTCAATGCCAAAATAGAAAAAAAAAGTTGGGAAACCCGACTGATATGGAAAAAAAAACCCCTTTTAAATTCTGTCCAATAAATAATTTTTGAAAGGTTTATATGAAAAATGTACAATTTTTAATAATGAAAATATTACAGTACATTTGAATTATTTTGATTATAGATTTCATTTTTATTAATAAACGATAAAGTAATGCATTTGAAAATTAATGTGTAGAGATGAATACAACACACCAGAATATATGTATTAATGCATCAAAGTACAGTAACATAGATGTACTATAATTTGGTAATTAAGTCTTGTAGGATGATTCATTTAATTGACTTTGTATAGAGTTCAAGCCAGATCATGTATTTTATTAGATAGCATCACTGGAAACTCAATATGACTGTTTCAATATTCTATACTGCAGTCCATTTAACGGGTGTTTCAAAAAATGATTTCTTTATTGCTCATCTATCAGCTTGCCTAGCAATACACATATGGAACATCACATCTTCCTTGTCTCATAAATAACTTTGGAAGAAAAAAGCCTTGGTGCAAGTGAGTCACTTGTTAGGGACATTGACCTTGGTCAGAAGATGACCCCTATTGTTTTCGGGGTCAGTAGGTTAAAATCAACATGGCCTTGATGACAAAAAAGGATTATATTATCAAGCAATGTATACTTCAGTACTTTCAGTGCTTTGATTGAATTATCTCCCCTTATAGAAAAATCTTGTCCGGGGCATAACTCTAAAACTATAAGAGATATCAACATGAAACATTGTAGGTAGATAGATCTCATTGAGTAGAGGTGCAGTGCTAAAGAACCATAACTCTGTTAAGCCTTATTTTTGAATAATCTCCCCTTTTAGAAAAATCTTGTCCAGGACATAGCTGTAAAACTATAAGAGATATCAACATGAAACTTTGTAGGTAGATAATTTCATGGGTAGATGTGCAATGCACAAATAATCATTACTCTACCTTGCCTAATTCTGGAGTTATTGCCCTTTGTTTATTTTTACTTTTTGAATTGTCCAGGACATAACTCGGAAATCATAAGAGATATCATCAAGAAACTTTGTAGGTTGATAGATCACATTGATTAGAAGTGCAGTGCAAAGAACTGTAACTCTGCCTTGCCAAGTTTTGGAATTATTGCACTTTGAACTTTTTCCACGGACATAACTCTGAAACTACAAGAGGTGTACTTTCCTGTGTCCAAAACCTATTCGGGGAGCATCACCGGCTCAAACCGGGCTCTTGTTAGGCTAGGTTAACAATTTAGAAATAGGGAGTTCTATTGTACTTACACTCTGGTATCAGTGTCCATAACTTTTTCATAGATAAAAGGATTTTGTAAATATTTGCCACAAATAGTCACTATAATAAGACAATGTGTCACGCACAACTTCTGCATCCCTACCTCCAAGTTCAAGGTCACTCTTAGAGGTCAAAAATTAACATAGTCAGTTTTAGGGTATATTTTGTGTCCGATCTAGAACTTCTTCGGGATTTTGAAATAACTTGGCACAAATTGTCACATTAATAACAGGATATGTCAAGTACAACACCTGCACCCTTACCTCCAAGGTCAAGGTCACACTTAGAGGTCAAAGGTTAACAGAGTCTGTTATATGGTATATTTTGTGTCCCGTACATAACTTCTTTATAGATCAAGGGATTTTGAATATACTTGGCACAAATAGTCACAATGATAAGATAATATGTCATGCGTAACACCTGTGTCCCTGCCTCCAAGGTCAAGGTCACACTTAGAGGTAAAAGATTTATATAGTCTGTTTTAGGGTATATTTTTTGTCCTGTCCATACTTTTTTCATAAATCAAGGGATTTTAAGAATACTTCGCACAAATAATCACAATAATAGGATGATATGTCAGGCGCAAAACATGGGACCCTACCTCCAAGGTCACACTTAGAGGTCAAAGATTAACATAGTCTGTAATAGGGTATATTTTGTGCCCGATCTATAACTTTTTCATAGTTCAAGGGATTTTAAAAATACTTGGCACAAAAGTTACAATAATAAGACCATATGTGATGCACAACACCTGCACCCCAACCTCCAAGGTAAAGGTCACACTTAGAGGTCAAAGCTTAACATGATAAATTTTTAAATTCCATGTTTCATTTTATTTCTTTAATAAATTTATTGTTGCATTTGCAGATCTAGCATTAATGATATTTTTTGACTGAATGTCCTGAGATCAATACCTCAATCTTTTGAAATAGCATAATTTTGTGCTTCATATAATACTTCCCCGAGGCGGGGGATGTTTGGAACTCTGTTACAAATTCTTGTAATATTTAAAAGATAATTCTGTATTTGTCTAAAGAAATATAAAGTTTTATAAATGTATTATAAAAGGATATCAACTTACACGTTTTCTATATCTTGTTTTGTCTGTTTCTGTTCTGCTTTCATTCTTATAATTGCCTTCTCAACAACTTGACAACATGTTTCATCTTCAAATGAGGTACTTGTAGAGTTTTCAGTTGGAGTGATTGGAGACCTTGTCTGAAAATTATTTAAAATGCTTAATTAATGATACAAAATTTGTCATTATTGGATTTATATAGGAAAACAAGCAATGGTTATTTCTTCAACCTCACATGAATGAAAGTTATCCCAGCTGCTGCTAGCATAGTTATAGAATGTGTTAACTTACATTTGTTGTGATTCCTGAAATAAGTCCACATTGTCTTTTTATCATGTTTACTTCTGTCTCAGTTGATTTAAGTTTTGTCTGAGTAAATGCCAGTTCTGACTTTGTTGACATTAGAACCTGACGTAACAAGGACATTTCACTGTTAATTGTATCTATTTTAGCAGCTAGCATGGAATATACTGCATCAGCACTCAGATTAGCTTCTGTGTACATCAAAATGTAGCAAACAAACATTGTTTGTAGCAAAAACTTGTAAATGCACATTTTATTTTTTTAGATTTTCTTTTTTTTTAAATCCTCAAACAAACTGGAGAAGTATCTTAAACTAGTGTTAACACGCATTTAATTTGTTTATATAAAATTGTACTTACTTGTATGCTCATAAAAACAGAAGATCTTGTCTACACTTAAAGAATGTTTGACGGATATTTAGTAAATCTAGATTTTCATATTTTCTAATAAAATCATGAATTATGAAATTTTCACACCATTCTTACCCTTTCCAACATCTTAACTTTGCTTTTAACTGAAGAAGAATGATTTTAAAACTGTGAATGTATCAACATGATACTTGTTAAAAAATACAGTAAAGTAAGACATTATTTTGAAAGAAATATTTTTTGACTTTTTCGGTTTTTTTTTTTACATGAATTTTTGACAAAATTTGTTAATAACAGACCAGCGTTATCACAGCATTGGCTGCTCTTGTTTATAGCTTGTTAGTGTCTCTGTTATATCCAGATTTGTCTGAAATTATTTTGTCTGATATTCAAGTATCTCTGACATTCACAATATGTTATTTATGAAGAAAAAGATTCTTCTGGTTTTTTCTTCTTCCACAGAGTAGCTTTAAAGTTGCATGTTTAAACTTTTTTTGCATTATAATGTTTAACAATGGAAATCTTGATCTTTTTCTTCTATTTGTAAAATGTTGCTGATATATCTTTTGAAAAGTTTTGACAAAGATTATCTTTTGTTTTGTAGATTTGAAACAACAAATGAATTTGCATGACAGTAAATTCAACATTTTTTTTAAACATGTTTGTACAGATATTTATATGATAAATAAGGAAGTTAAATTTTACTTTGATCTGTTTGATGTATAAAATTTTGACTATTTAATATCTTTCTCAGTGTCCCATCAGTAGTCACATCTATCTGATCATGGTCTGCATGCTATGCAGCCAATATTTAGAAATTTACCCTTCAAATGATGAATAGTTTTGTCCTGATTGAAGGTTGTGTATGTCCATTATAAGATATTAGCATGTGAAGGGTTGATAACCAAAGATTAGTACTTCATTAAGATTTTACATGCAAGTACTTTTTCCACAACAACATGAAACTTCATTCATGTCTCCAGAGTAATTAATCAGGGTTACTTGGGTTAAATATTTTGATTTTACCTCAATTATTACTCTACATGAATGTAGAAAATTTCCGCATCAATGTAGTGTTACTTGTAGGAAATGAGAATAGAACACACTACTATCAGCATATTTATGTATTGTCCAGGTCTAGTCAAATATAAGTAGTTAGACAAACTGATCTTATAAGTTGCTCATCTTGGTGAAAATCAATTCAAAATGCTCAGTAAAGGTATGTTATTTGACATATCTTTTAGTGTTATTTTCCCCCCTTTAATCCTTGTATTTCTGTATTTCAGACCGAATTCATCATCAGTACTAGCAGTTGGCTGTCAATCTTGTATACTGATATGGCATGTAGAACCAACATCACTAGCTACAAGGTAATATCTCTCTACCAAACTATAAACATACACTAACATTTATTGTCATACTTTATTGTGTCTTAATTGTAAAGAAAATAGATTTTGTGTCTTGATAATTATGAGAATAGAATAAGGACATTGTAAGTTGAGATTTGGTGAAAAGTTCCTGATCTAGATAAATGCTTAGTCACATTGTTAAACCACACTGATCCAAAAATGTAGGATGTTTTTTTTTAGAGGATTGTTTTCAGTGATGTTTTAAACAAGTACAAGTACAATTAATTATAAGCATTTGAAATCTTTAAAAATGTTATTTACTATTAAATGAAGCTTGATTAGGGGAGTAAAAGGAAATTTGCCCCTAGCCCACAGATGTAATATTTTAAGAAATTTCTCCATGACAACTTGACTCTAACATTAAATCTAATGGTCATTTGTCTGTCCCCACTTTTTCAAAAATCAAATGGGATTTTAGTCAGTCACAAGATTTTAGTTTTAGTCACACATGGAAAAATTTGGTAATTAACTGGATAGTTATCTAAGAAAGCCAGTTGGAGATAAAACTAGCAACCAATTTATAAGAGGTCCACAAGCTTAATGCTGAGCTTAGTAGTAAATATTTTATTTGGAGAAACAATAACAATAGCGAATAGCTTCTATTTCATACTGATTAACTTCATTTTCATGACTGAATAACACATTTGTTTTTGCAGCATTGCTTAAGGTTGGAGAGAAAACTTAGTGAATTGAACATTTTTTCACAAGTATTTCTATTTATTTTGAAAAATGTCATTATTCTATATAATATTTGGATATATCATATTTCAGACCATCATCAAGCTCAGTACAAGTTCTACAGGAGAGTGGACATTGTCCAATAACAAGTCTGTCGTGGAGTCCTGATGGCCGTATTTTAATGTCATCATCCCCAGTGGATACAGCAATGATGGCATGGGATGTTGCCTTGGAAACTTGTACACCACTATGTAGATTTGGTGGAGGGGGTGTGTCACTCGTTGCTTATGGTCTCCAGATGGCAGTAAACTCTTCTCAGCCACACTTTCTAATCTGTTCAGGTTTACTTTATCTCAGTTTTTTTAACTTGACTATTACAAGAATAGGGGTGGCTATTGTACTTGCTCAGGCTTTTGGCACTGGTGTTGGGTCGCTGTCACATTTTGGTAAATGTTTTGCATGCAAGTTGTTATCTCCAGAACTAGTGAATGGGATGAAATTTTCTCTCATTTATTTTAGAGCAAAATAAGTCACTGTCCAAGGCCCATAACTCAAATTAAGATGTTGACAGAATTTTGGCCCTTTTTTCACTTAGAAAATTTTACATTATCCAAGCTCTTCTTTTACTACTTAACATTGAGAATAGTCGAGCATGCCGTCCTGTTGACAGCTCTTGTTTTATTACAAATTGCACAGGGGTGTGGAATTTTGGATTTATTCCACTTGCCCATGGACAAGTTGAACTAAAATTTTTCTACTTGTCCACAGCTTAAGTTCACTTGCACAAATAAATAGTGAAAAACAGGTTTATTTCAATGGCTTTATTTATATTAAATTGCTAGGGCAGAATGGTAAAGGTAACTTTAAATAATTTGCCTGTCACTGCTGTCAGTTTGCTACTAGAAACTTTAGATTCTTTTATGTGAGGAAGCTACAATGCTAACTTAATGTTTAAATGTGTGTACACTGTAACACAGCAATACTTAACTTTGTATAGGATTAAGATGATTTAAAATGGGTTCATAACTTTTCATATACATGTATATTAACATGATTCCAGAGTATGGGAAACAAGAACATGGAGTTGTGAGAAATGGTCAACTTCAACAGGACCTTGCAAGGTACATTTACATGTGTCATCATATTTATATTTCCTCTTTGCAAATCTGACCTTACCTACTAGGAGCAATAACATGTGTATGTAACAAAATAGATTGAAGTGAAAGATGAGTACTATCTAAATATTGCTTATTACATGTAACAGCCTCATACACCAGATGAATTTATAAATTTCAAAAAAAAAAAATCAAAACTAGAGAAATAATTGACAAAAAAACTTATCAAGAAATTTATAGATATTTTACACAAATTGATTCTTTTTATGTTCAGATGCAAAATATTACAGGAACACAATATTTGTTACAAATATATCTACTAAGTCAACCAACAGTAATAAGTATTTCTGCATGGGATGGCTTGTTTTATGTGACTTTTTTGGACAGTACAAGAAACTGTTCCAGTCAAATCACTTGATTTTTATACTTGACAGTATTTCTACATATTTGATAAATTTGAAAATTTTCATTTGAATTAACATTAATCTGGTGCCGCTGGTTTAAAAGAATAATGTTAATGTGTGTGCTTACTATAGCTGTGAATCTTTTTACAGCATTGCCAGAATTGATGATAATGTTACACCCCATGACATAATGGAATATATTTTAAAGGCCCATTATGCCTCACATTTACTTCCATTTTATTTCTCAAAAACTTTGTTATCTAGATAAAGTTTCAAAAAACTTCTTGTTTGCCATGTTGATGAACATGGAGGTTACGTACCATGGAGGTTACGTACCACTGCATAAATGTACCATTTTTGGAGGTTACGTACCACTATAGAAATATATAATAAAGTGATAATAATAGGGATAAGGTGTGAAACTATATCATGTTTATTGTTCAAATTCGCGCATTAATTGTATTTTGTAATGAGATTAAATATGTATGAATATATAAGAATAAACAACAAACCGCAATTAACGATAATAACAAGTTTTATTTACAACACAAAACTGAAAATAATTAATAACAATAATATAATTACACGCACTAAACTGAAATGAACAGTACAATGAAACAAACCACAGCTAATATAAAAAAAAACATTTTTTTTTCATTTATAGTATTATTGTTTTATTTATACGCATTTAACTCAAATTAACTGAAATAAACAAAATAATCAAAAGCAATAATAATATTTCATATGCATGTTAATAAACCGGACAAAATTACTTACCTTGAATAAAAAAAAAACTAAACAAGCATTACATATTTTATCATTTATACATTACATTTAGTTTCATTTACACGTTAACTGAACTGTGCATAAAATGAAAATAACAATAATTATGTTACACGCTCTGAAATGAAACAACAATACACAATTAACAAGTATTTTTAAAAATATGTGCCAGCTGTTGCTTGACTTCCATCATGCCAGCTACAGCACTCGTAGTGCCGTGTAACATTGCTGGAACTTAAAGGTGGTCTACTTCTTATTGAGTTGTCAACAACCTGAAATTAAATATTAATAAGTTTTCTTATTAAGAAAGAAATTATGCATGCATGCTTTCTGTAAAGTTGATCGCCGCAAAAATTTCATTTTAAAAAATCAGTATTACGTACTAACCGGAGACTTGCAATTATAAATCAGTGTATTCACTCATATGTCAATAGTTTGCAATTTGTTTGTGATTTGTTAGATTACTCATTTTCTGAATGTGTGATAATCATACATAGATATAGGTAAAACGTTTGCATTTAAATTAATTGCTCTTATGTGATTTTTAAAAAGTAATATTAAAGTTATAATTCGGTCTTTTTTTATAATTGTTATGCTCTATATTATTTGTATTTTATATAAATTATATATATATATATATTTTTTATCGGTACTCTACAATATAGGTGTACATACAGTCACTTTTCAATGAAAACGGAGAAGATATACGAATAAAATAAACATTTACAAAGTTGATCCTGTTAGTAAACAGATAAAATTTTATAACGGCTATGGGTTATAAAAATGATAACATGTTTAAGTTACACCCCTGACTGTCATAGCAGTGTATCATTTAATATCCGCTTGCTGGATTTATTAATCTTCGGAAAAAATGATAACGTGTGTGAGAACAATCTGTTTATTCGTGAAATTAATACTTTTGGTTTTATTAAATTACCTTATAATTGGTTACAGAAAAAAAAAAAAATTCTTTTGATAACAATGCTAGTTGTTTGAACAAAATGTTGTGATAATAATGTAATTTGCTTGATATTTTGTGACATTACGAAAAATAGAAAAAGATATGACAATTAACAATAACATTATATTTATCATTACTTCGTTGAAGCAGATGCCCAGTACACTGATTAGAGTAAATCGCATTGGTTTTAATGAACTCTGCTGAAAAAGGAGAAGAGTTTATAACAATAGACTTGCTGTATAGCTTATTTCATACCGAAAAAATATTTCTTATTACAATATGTTTGCACATTTAAATTTAAATTTTTGATGATTTAAATTTATTGATTTTATTGATGAGTTCTAAACTAAAGATAGAGGAGGATGTAGTGAGCAAGTCTACAAGATATAATAAGCCACGCCTTTAATATCAAATATCGTTATTGTTACTGTGTGTATGTTTACTCGATGTTTGGGAGTTTATGAGTGTATACTTGGATGCAACACATATAATAAAATATATAAACCATCCTTCGGGTCTTGTTTAGTCTGTGTGCTTGTAAGCCATCCAAATAGAAAATATAAATGTTACAGAGGATATCAATGATTTTCTCATAAACGTGTGATTCATTCTCTTAGAGGTGTATAAAACAAACAATTTTCACTTGTTGTGGTATTCACAAATAAACAAATGAAAAACAGAAACAAATATTTTATTCATAAACAATGTAACAAACTGAATTTTCTGTAAATTATATAGAACAGAAAATATGTTTTAATTAATGAAACTTAGAGTAAATAATAGACATAAAAATAATGTTATAAGTAATTAGTCAATATTTCTCTATCATAGCAGTAATAGAATTTCTACTGGCAACCTCACCATATTTTACCCATTTTATATAAATTATATATATGGTACGTATCCTCCAAAATATATAAGTGGTACATAACCTCCAAAAATGGTACGTAACCTCCTGGTACGTATCCTCCGTGGTACGTAACCTCCAGTAATCTTATTATTTGCTTCTTTTGCTCTGTTGGCAATTGATAGAATTATAGTGAATTACTATTTTGTTTGGAAGTCAAAATACTACTTTGTTTACATTTTGCTACCTTGATAACACATTTACTGCGTCTCCAGGGCCAGTGTCTGCAGTTATTGAATGTTTAAAATGCTCTTAATTATTATCCATTATAAAACATTATAAACACATGTTAGAATAAAAAGATATGGATTCTTAAGTGCATAATGTGTCTTTAAATTAAAGGCTAATTATGCAAAGAAATGCTTTAATTTTCATGTTCTAAAAGCTTTTCTTTTTGGTATCCTCTTAAAGTTTCAAAAACATTATTCATTGGCCAATTTTCTGAACCATCCTTTGCTTCTTTTTGCAATAAGTACAGTTACAGTGATTTTGTATGGAAGTCAAAATACTTCTTTGTTTACACTTTGCTACTATTTAGACAAATAATTTTACTTTCAGCACTACTATCTTCAGATGGTATGCATCCAGCATTCTCTAAATCATTATTTAAACATTATAAAACTCATGTTTACCCTATCTGAAGAAGGAAAATTTAAATCATTTCTGAGGCATAATGTGCTTTTAACTGTATGCATCCAGGGAACCACGAATATTGCAGTATACGGCCAACGTATTTCTTGAAATGATGTGAACGCTGTTGCATTTGATATTTATATTTCAGACAGCCTGTTGGAGCCCTAAAGGAAATATTTTGTTGTTTGCAACAGAAAATCAACCAGTTATATACTCACTTACATTCTCTGAAGTATCAGATGAAACAAAGCCTGTGATTGGTGGATCTCAAACAGCAATGGCTTGTGCTGACCTATCAGAGACAGACTTACAAACAGCAGATTCATCAAATGTGAAGTAAATGATTATTAAATGAAAATTTAAATAACTTGTTATTGAAAATGCTTACCATCTAAGACTCATTACTCCTGAATGAATTACGAATATACACAACTGAATTATACACCTTTCTTAACCTAAAATGTTTCTTGCTAAGGTTTTTTCCCCAAATTCCTGAATCACCGAAAACTTCACAAAACATTTTAAAATATGTCTTTTATCATACATTTTTCATGTAATTTTTGCTCATTTTCCAAGATTACTTTCTCTTGCAATTTATACTGAATTGTACACTGTTCTTTTCGTTGAGTATTTACATGCAAGTCTTTCCTCATAAACCACTGAAGGTATTAAGTTGAAACTTCTGGCTCAAATATATTTCAGGGATGATAAATTGTAGGCCACTTATGAAAACCCATAACTCTTGCTATGATCTCACTCAGTTATTCTCAGAATTGAATTTAGAAAATACCTGCACTATCTAGGCTTTTATTTTACTTTCAAGCAGTAATAATACATGTAGATAATTTTGCTGACAGCAGTTAGTTCTTTTTGAGATGTCCAGTACACATACTCTTACATGTAGAAATATTTCAATTGTGTGAACATGATGGTGTCACGGTTCAGAACTGTTCACTATTTAGGGGAGAAGATGTGTAAGCGGCCGGATAGCTCAGTCGGTAGAGCCGCGGAACGGTATTCCGAGGGTCCCGGGTTCGAGTCCCGGTCAGGCTGCACATTTTTCTCGCCCTGTGACATTTGGCGCCCAACATGGGGCCGTGACTGATATAGCTCAGAGTTTAATTTACATTGCTCTGTAACTCTGTGAAATTCGAGGACGAATTTCAATATAGCAGGGGAGTATGTCACGGTTCAGAACTGTTCACTATTTAGGGGAGAAGATGTGTAAGCGGCCGGATAGTTCAGTCGGTAGAGCCGCGGTACGGTATTCCCAAGGTCCCAGGTTTGAGTCCCGGTCAGGCTGCACATTTTTCTCGCCCTGTGACAATGGCTAATAGTAAAGTTAATATCAAAGGAAACATTTTTGTTCATGTAACACTTAACCTGCAGGATCTTAAAGTGACAAGCCTTTGCCAGGCTCTATTATGTCAGCTACAATTTTCATTATTAACAATAATGGATAGTCCCAACAAATTGAAACTAGACAAATTCAGCAGGTTAAGGGTTAAAATTTTTCTGTCTTACTGCTGTCTGTCTGTGATCATCATTCAGTGCTGCAACTACCAGTTAATAGCCAGGCAAACCTGATAATCTGAGTAGACAAAAATCAATTAATGTTTAATATAAATTAATGTTATTTTATATGTAGGGTTGGTGGACTTATTCAACATATGGCTTGGGATTCAAAAGGAGAACGTCTGGCAGTAATATTTCAAGGTATTGTCTTGCTTTTTACATACTTGACTGTGCTTTTTAGCTCACCTGAGCATATGCTCAAGGTGAGCTATTAGGATCACTCTTCGTCCTTCGTATGTCGTCCGTTGTCCGTTCACACTTTTAAAACGACATCTCCTCTGAAACCATAAGGCAGATCATAATGAAACTTCACAGGGATGTTCTTTGTGTGAAGCCTTAACAAAGTTGTTCAAAGAATTCCATTCCATGCAGAACTCTGGTTGCCATGGCAACCGATAGAAAAAGCTTAAAATATCTTCTTTTAAAAAACCCAAACAGGTAGAGCTTAGATATTTGGCATGAAACATCTTCTAGTGAGTGTCTATCAAGTTTGTTCAAATAAAAGCCCTGGGGTCAAAATTGGCCCGCCCCGGTGGTCATTGTTTTTCCCTATATGCAAATAGTAAAAACTTAAAAATCTTCTTTTAAAGAACCCAAAGAGCTAGAGCTAAGATATTTAGCATGAAACATCTTCTAATGGGTGTCTACCAAGTTTGTTCAAATAAAAGCCCTGGGGTCAAAATTGGCCCAGCCCCGGGGGTCATTGTTTTTCCCTATATGCATATAGTAAAAACTTAAAAATCTTCTTTTAAAGAACCCAAAGAGCTAGAGCTAAGATATTTAGCATGAAACAGGTTCTAATTGGTATCTACCAAATTTGTTCAAATAAGAGCCCTGTGGTCAAAATTGGCCCTGCCCCGGGGGTCATTGTTTTTTCCATATATATGCATATAGTAAAAACTTAAAAATCTTCTTTTAAAGAACCCAAAGAGCTAGAGCTAAGATATTAAGCATGAAACATCTTCTCAATGAGTGACTACCAAGTTTGTCCTAGGGTCAAAATGGGCCCAGCCTCCGGGGGGGGGGGGGGGGGGTCATTGATTTTCCCTATATGCATATAGTAAAAACTTGTAAGAGCCCTGGGGTCAAAATTGGCCCTGCCCCGGGGGTCAAAGATTTTATTTATGTGTATAGCAAAAACTTTAAATATCTTCTTTGAAAAAACCCAAATAGCTAGAGCTAAGATATTTAGCATGAAACATGTTCTAAGTTAGTGTCTACAAGTTTATTCAAATAAAAGCCCTAGGGTCAAAATTGGCCCTTGCCCGGGGGACATTGATTTTCCTTATAAATTATGTGTATAGCAAAAACTTAAAAATCTTCTTTGAAAAAAAAACCAAATAGCTAGAGTTTAGATATTAAGCATGAAACATCTTCTAGTGAGTGTCTTCAAAGTTTGTTAAAAAAAAAGCCCTGGGGGCAAAACTGGCCTCGCCCTAAGGGTGTCATTGCTTTGAACTGTATGTGTATAGTTAAAACTTAAAAAATCTTTTTTAAAAAACTCAACGAGCTAGACTTTAGATGTTTAGCATGAAACATCTTGTAATGGGTGTCTACCAAGTTTGTTCAGATATAAGCCCTGGGGTTTAAACTGGCCCCATTCTGGGGGCCTATATACAGGTGAGCAACATCAGGGCCATCATGGCCCTCTTGTTTTAGTCAGTAGTTAATAAAGCCAGAAAAAGATAAAACTTGTTATATAAAAGTGAAATAAGAGCTTGTTAATTGATAGCTGGTAAAAATAGTGTATATATTTGGCTGAGTGGTTAGATTGTCGACTTCAAATCACTTTCCCCTCACCACTTTGGGGCGTAATCCTACTAGGGACTTCAGATTCTTTCGTATGAGGAAGCTATCCACCTAGCTTACAGACCATCGCTGGTTCTACTCATGTGCCTTCTTGTGACTGAAATAATTGGGCATGTGATCTGGAAAGATGCCTAATGACCTTACAGTGTTTGTGTGACATCCAAATCCAACAAACAAAAGGTTGCAAAATTAAATTGCTATAATATCAAGAATACCAATCTTATATTCATATTCTGGATTTGTTTTTTCTTCTCTTTATTTGAGGGGGGATTTTTCTTTTTCTTTTTAAATCTTTTATAAAGTCTAGAAATTTGAAGGTCTACAATTTTATTTATTGATAAATATACTACATAACTGTAAGAGCTTAAAAATCGGTTATATTGTTTCTTGAATTTACTTATTATAATGTTATATTATTATACATGTACATGTATATACTACAGGTAACTGTGAGTATGTAGCTGTGTTCAGAACAAAATTGTTTCCTGTCCTGGAAATTACTTCTTGGTAAGTTAACTACTAATAGTAGTTCTTAATACAGAGCATTGGCCTAGTTGTTATAGGAATTCTACTGAGGTCCAAATGCATAAATGTATAAGAAATCAGAGTCTTAATTTGATCAACTTGTGCTCTTGAATGGATAAAGTTTTCAAAAGATCAAGTTTAAAATTGATTTTTTTTTTTGTGGTTCTTAGCCTGATTTTAGTTTAAAAAAATAGTATAGAAAGTTTGTTGCAAGTTGTTGGTCTAGACCTTAATCTACTAGTACACAATTCTTGAAAAAAATATTTCCAGTCCCTTCATGTAAAAAAACAACAACTTGGAATAGTCGCTGTTATGTGACTGCCTCTCATTTGAGGAATGGTGTTTTCAAACTACTCTCAGTCACAATGTAATACCAGTATTGGTTATACTAGTGTAGTTCCAGGAAGCCGTCTTGAACATAATTTATTAAAATTGTGAAAGCATGTATGAATATGTTAAATTAAATAATTATATAGTACTGATTTACTAATGGAATACAATAGGCTTCAAACATTGATAAAAATCCAATAAATGATATCCTTCCATTTGTTAACAATAATCTAAATTACTGTTATAAATGATTAAAAGAGGTTCTTGCATGTCAGGAAGCTTTTCAGCTACTTCACGGACGGCCTGAAAAAATGCAATGAAGTCTTCCTTCACCAGTAAATCTGTTATGTTGCCATATGGCTTTTACAGTGTCTATGTAAATTGAAACCCAACAAAAACACAAACAAGTACTAAGTTACAACTCTAATTTTAGATATACAAATTGCACTGTATCATGTACAGGAAATATATTGGACATTACTATAATTATATTTCAGTGGTTTTGTGAAAGGATTTGACGGTGAGAAGGCAGAGTTTATTGAGTTTCAGCCAAATTATAGTAAAGGTGCAATGTTAACTGTGGTAAGTACATATTATATGACAGTTGATTTAATAAGGTTTGCTGGTAAGTATCGTGTTCAGAACTTAGTGGATATCTTATGTCAAGCATTTAAAAATAGTGATTTTATATGAAACTTACAATTGTTCATGAATGATAACTTGTCTCTGTCCTAATTTAGTATGCAACAAAAATTAAAATCTAGTATACAACAAGAAATGCAAATCTATTGCAGCAAGGTACTGAGTTCTATACAAGTAGAAATACAAAGAAATAATATATATGTATAGAAATTTATCATGTGCTGTATTAGTAATGTTCAAAATTGTCCTGTGTTTGGTCCAGAAGGCAGTGTATATGACTTACAAATTACTTGCTACTCTTAATTTGACAGAGAACATTTTATGGGCAAAAACTAGGGCTGGGGCAAGTATCCGAGTACTCGGATAATCACAAATAGAAATGAATAATCGAGTATGAATATTCGTGTAAGTCCAGAGATCATGGATTGCGATCTTATTTGTTTATATACATTTATTACATGCTTTTCGGTGGTTGATAGAAATATATCAGTGATATAAAAACTGGTAATTTCACTGCTTGAAACAGTGAAATTACCACTTTGATAATTTCACTGTTTCGAATTTAAGCCCCTTACGTTGTTTCAGTGAAATACCAGCGTGCACAGAACTGGGTACCATTTTAATGACGTGACGTCGTAAATGACGTCACGTTGTATTATTATTTGGCGCGATTTTCATTCAGTATTAGGTTAAATGTCTTTTTAAAACGTTTCTTTGCATATAATAAAAAGAAAATTTGTTTAGTTTAGTGTAAGATCGAAATATATTTCACCTTGTGAACACCAAAGGTTCATATTTTACTCGTGGCTGCGCCACTCGTGAAATATACCTTTTGGTGCTCACTCGGTGAAATATATTCCGATCTTACACTGAACTAAACAAATATCCTCTATTTACTGTTTCTCACACTCTAAAAGTTGGAAAAAATACAATTTGAGTATGAATTATGCGATGTTTACCTAAATACAATTTGCCAATTAAAGACAGGAAGTAAACAAACCAGTACCATGATCAGGGTTGCCAGCGGACTTGAAAAGTCAGGGAAATTGGGTATTTTTTCAAGGTCAGGGAATTGTCAGGGAATTTTGAAATTTAGTCAGTGAAAAATGAAAATCCTGAAAAGTCAGTGAAAAGTCAGGGAAAAATTATTTCAAAGGTCGAAAAATATACACATTGAAGGTCTTTCTTGGCTATGGCAGTCTTTAGGCATTTAATATTTGACTTTATCACTTTCACAGTTAAGCATTAAATTCAAATAACAGTAAACTGTGATATTAAGAAGGATTATATGTTAACATAGTGATTATAATACCCATTATTTACCTTAGAACATCATTCAGCCTAAAGACTGAATGTAACAGTCATGCCGCTCACTGTATTCTGTATTGGTCTAGCTTTTTCTGTGCATGATCACTAGAAGGGCTTTTAATTACAAACAAAATCTAGTCAGTATATACATGTATACCAACTACCATATTGGCATATAAACTGCTTTGCTTTTTGCTTTGGAACACTAGAAATTGTACAAGAGGATTTGTCTTGCAACATGATGGAAACTGGTTAAAATTATGCAATGCTAATGTTTTTTCACACTAACTTTTTTCACACTAACTTACTTCAACTCATTCAAAGCCTTTAATTTTATAGTGATTATTTCATGATATGCCAAAATGAGCCCTATGTTCTTGTTTTCACAATCAGTGGAGTTTATCATGATGCTTATACAAGTAACTGTGTTAAATGTTTATTGTTCTTAATAGTTTAAAGAGATGTTTGAATTTTAAGTTTTGTCATACAAGTATTACTCTTATAGTCTTGGTGTTTTATGTGTTACTATTAGGAAGGAAAGAGTGACTTATGTGATTTCTAATACAGATGCTTATATTATGATTCTTCTGATTTTCATGTCATATATTTCACATGTTTCACTGACCAACAGTCACACTGTGTTTGAATAGAAATAGTTAAGAATATTAGAACACAATGTTTGAATCATTACTTTGATGTAAATGTTTTATATTTTGGAAAATAAATACAAGTTTACATGCAAAAATTAAATGAGAGGATTGGACGGCTATAGGGGAGGTCAGGAGGCGGTTTATGTGTTTGATGATTTTGGTCAGTGAAAAACATGAATTGGTCAGTGAAAAGTCAGGGAAAAGTCAGGGAATTTTATTTCACCAAAGTGCTGGCAACCCTGATGATGCTGAGCTAGGAAGTCATTAGTTTCGAAAAAGAAATCACTTTTTTTTTAATGAGCACTATGTTTTTTATGAAAATAAATAAATATTTTTAGTTGCTATATATAGATTTATATAAGGTGACATGTATTGAGGATGGTTTTATTTTTTACAATAATCATTAAAATAATAATAATTCAAAATTTACGAAACACAAGGTAATAAATACGTCAGTGTGACTTCACTCATCCTGTCTGCAATAATAGCTGAAAAGAGTCACGCTGATATAAAATTCTACCAGCAAAATTTACTTCTAATGCTTTGAAATACTTTTTTATAGGTTTCTCAATTATACATTAAGATACTCATGCGAAGAATAAAAAACATAAACCTAGTTTATATTTGCACATATGTTTAATGTTTAGTATTGTTTAAAGAAAAATAAACATGTTTTTAGAACTAATGTTCATGTTTTAATAAACTTTAAAGGTGCCTTGATAACAAAAAATTTGTGGTTCGATTTGTAAATCGTAAGTGCTAAATCGTGGTTCGGATCGGATAGTCACTTATGCGATGATCACCACCGCCTAGCAAAGACTGAATTATAAATATACCCTGTTGTATCCTTGTAAAGTTGTGAAATATGCCACATATGATAAGCTTAAGATTTGATGTGATGATGAAATTCTACCTGAAATAATTGAACTGTATTTTTTACTATTTATAGATCTGGTCAAGTGGCAGAGTGGGATATGTTCCCATGTATTTTGTTTCATCATCATCAACTACAACAGTATCATCTCTAGAGGAAGAGTTTAAATATCAGCAACATCAACATACATTCTCTAATGGGTTATATTCTACTACAGACTAAAATCATAGATTTATCTGTTTGCCTAGTAATGTGTATGGCTTGACTTAAGAAAAGTTATTTGTAAGACTTGACTAAAGAAAAGTTATTTGTAAGACTTGACTAAAGATGACTTGACTAAAGAGAAGTAATGTATGGTACTTGTCTAAGAAAATTTATTTATTTGATTTGACTAACAAAAAATATTGGTATTGTTTGGATAAGAGAAGAAATTTGTATGACACTTGGCTTATAGTTTAGGAAGTCATAAGGTAACTTTTATCAGTAAACTTTTATGTGAGAAATGAATTTTTATTGTAAATGTTAACCTGTAAAATATGTTGTTTTTTTCAAAGTTTGACAGAGTTCTGTATATATGTTTACATTATAGATAACTAATTTTGATATAATTATGATTTCAAATTTGTTCTAAACAAGTATTATTAATATCTTTCAAGACACATTAAAGCATAAAAATTTGTTATGATGATATTCTATATAACTAGAAACGTGTAGTTAATGATGAAATATTGAAACAGTTTATAAAAATATATGTAAGTTTCATACAGATGTGTGGACTTCATAAATTGTTAAATTTGCAAATGATGATCAGTTTTGTGTCCAAGTGTGCTACAGGTTATCATGACCGACATATAAAACACAAACTCATTTGACTTAATAACCACCGTTTTAAATGTAAGCCAGTTAATTGACATTTCTTATCAATTGCAACATATTAAAGTTAAATTGTAAATGAATAAATGTACTGTACTTTATTGTCATCCAGGAGATCATTTTCACATACGGTAATATTTGTAAATAAAAAATCTAAATCTTGTTAAAATATATAAAATTTGGAAGACGGACAAAACCCCACCAGTTAAAACCCCACCACTCAAAATTTTATAGAGTGGACAAAACCCCACCACTTAATTTTATAGAGTGGACAAAACCCCACCACTAAATTTTACAGAGTGGACAAAACCCCACCACTTACCAATTATTGGGCAAAAATTGATGAATTAAAATATATATAATATTCAGTACACATTTTCACATTTTATTTTTTAATTTCAATGTAACATTTGTGTAATATAAGAGATTATACAAATAATTTACAAACTGTTAAATTAACATCAAAGAGTAGTCATTTATTTGTGACTGTGCCACATTTATGACCTTGAATTATCCATTATTTTTAGTTTCTTCAAATTTCTTCTTTACTATTAATCAAGAATGTAGCACATTTTCATCAATTAATGATTAAAAAATAGCACATTTTTATAGCACATTTCTAATTTATTCATTTCAGTCAATTTTCATTCATTGTACTTCATTGTACTTAGTTTAAGTGGATACTGTGGCTGAAGCCTGAAGAAACTCGGGTACAGTCTTCTCCTTATTGATGAGTTGTTCACACATTCTTTTGAGTTTCTGCTGATGCACAATTGTTTGTTTTTTAATATGTTTACAAGAAAGTTTTGTCCACTCTATTAAACTGAAGTGGTGGGGTTTTGTCCACTCTGTAAAATTAAGTGGTGGGGTTTTGTCCACTCTATAAAATTAAGTGGTGGGGTTTTGTCCACTCTATAAAATTTTGAGTGGTGGGGTTTTAACTGGTGGGGTTTTGTCCTACATTCATAAAATTTGGTTACAATTTTTCTTGGTCCTGCTACAGATAAACTTTCTATACACTTGTTATGTTGTAATAAATAAATATTGAAAATATTAATGTTATTTATAATAAATGATATTGCAACTGTGAAGTTTGTGTTTTAAATATGTTTTGTAGTGTGTAAATTCGGTTGTGCCATTCTTTTGTTAACTCAATAATCCCTTCAAGCTGCATACGAAAATTGTTACCTACCAGACGCAAATCTACTGGAGAAAATTTACTGGATCGTCAGGGTTGAAAATTTCAATTATATCTGTTCACGTTTTTAACTAAATGCAAGAAAATGTTAAAACTGTCTAGTAAGAAGTGACCATGTAATTGAAAATTGATTCTATAAAAGAAGTAGGAAGTAAATTAAGTTTTTATCTGCTGGAATTTATTCTAAAATTCCATTAATAAAATCAGTGATATTGTTCAAGATGGAATGCCATATAAATGAGGTTTTAATATTTCAAAACATTTATTTGCCATGGTGAAGTTTGTAGCATTCACATTGGTGATAATTGCTGTTACTGGGTGTCATGTGCTCGATTGTGTGCGCGTGCGAACAGTCGACTATTTCATACGTCACTTCCACGTTGTCCCAGTTCGATAGACAATTGGTTATCTGGTGGAACCATTAAATCGAGGTCAAATGAGCGTCATAACCATGCTTGTTGACTGGATGATTAACGGTCTGAGAACACCATTCAAGATTTGGAGATTCATTGGGACAAAGGTCAACAACCATGAATACATGCGACTGTCCCTCTCTAGTTGATACGCCCCCTGGTGCAGAACCTCCTAAAATTATAGGAAGTGGCTAGCCGTACGGGCCCGTACTGCTAGCCAAAAGTTCTAGCCGTACGTGAGTCACGTACGACTAGCCAGGACACACTGTACTGGCTAGCCGTACGGCGCTTTTCAAAAATATATTGGAAGGCGAAATTAAGTGCATATGTTGATAATGACTTTAAGCGAGGATTTTAGTCAAGAATGGTTGCTTTTTAGAGATTAATCGACGTGTTGGCTACAGTAAAGAATTTACTTTTGTCATCTCAAGACGTCGAGAAAAAATAAGCGTTTGGTTGCAGTTAAAATAACATCACTTGAAATAGTTTACAAAATTTTGATAATAATCCTTTTTTGTTTAATTAAGTTTAATTTTTAAATTGAAAAAAAAAAAAAACCCCAAAAAACAACCGAAAATAATTGTTTGTTGGGCTCTGATAATTGCGCCAATTACCGACGGTATAGAAGTTTGGTCCATCGTCCATTATTAAAAGTTTGCAATTATTAAATTATTTTTCCTTTTCAACTTTTTTTTAATATTCTTTTTATTTATTTATTTATTCCTCCCCCCGATCATTATTTATTCGATCCATGTGTTCTTAATTAACAAGCTGAACAATTTATCTTTCATACGTTCATCAAGCATGAAAAATTAAAGGACGTTATAACATGCAACTTTGACACTTAATTTTATTAAGATAGATTATAGAACGCTTACTCGTATTCATTTTTGTGTGTGAAAATTGCAGAGTATCTTTATTAAAGTGAACTTACTAGGACAAATGCGGAGATTTGATTAAACTCGTTGTTTAAAGACACAAAAATAACATATGCATTTTCGACTTCCATATAATTTTGAAAAGTGCCGTACGGCTAGCCAATACAGTGTGTCCAGGCTAGTCGTACGTGACTCACGTACGGCTAGAACTTTTGGCTAGCCGTACGGGCCCGTACGGCTAGCCACTTCCAAAATTATAAGAAACTAAATGTATAGATAGAGTACGACCAACTGCAATGCATAATTAATTTTTTAAGAATAACCCCTCTCGCT